GGAGGGGGCGTCCCTCAGCCCGGCCTGTGCCCTCTCGCAGTCTGGGACCCCTCGGGAGATAACGACCTGCTGGCTTAGGCCTGCTTCCGGGTGGCAGAGGGCAGGCCCAATCCCTAGGTGCAGCCCCTGGTCGGGCTCAGAGCAGGGCTAATTGGGGAGTTGGGGCACTGCCCCCTGTCATGCACAGAGCAGGGCGGATCGGGAAGTTGCGATGCCACCCTCAGTCACCCGCAGGGTAGGGCCAATTGGGGGGTTGGGGCACCGCCCCCTATCACACTCAAGGCAGGGTCGATGGGGAGGTTGCGGCGCCACCCCCTGTCACACACACAGAGCAGGGCCAATCAGGGGGTTGGGGTGCTGCCCCCTGTCACTCACAGAGCAGGGCCCATTAGGGGGGTTGGGGCTCTGTACCCTGTCACGCACAGAGCAGGGCCCATCAGGGGGTTGAGGAGCTCCCCCCTGTCACTCACAGAGTAGGGCCGATAGGGGAGTTGGGGCACCGCCCCCTGTCACACACAGAGCAGGGCGGATCAGGGGGTTGGGGCGCTGCACCCTGTCACACTCAGGGCAGGGCCGATGGGGAGGTTATGGCTCTACCCCGTCACCCACAGAGCAGGGCCAGTGTGGGGGGGGGTTGGGACGCCGCACCCTGTCACACACAGAGCAGGGCCGATCAGGGGGTTGGGGCACCGCAGCCTGTCACACACAGAGCCGCAGGGCGATCAGGGGGTTGGGGAGCTCCCCCCTATCAGTCACAGAGCAGGGCTGGTCAGGGGGTTGGGGCGCCTTCCCCTGTCACGAACAGAGCAGGGCGGATAGGGAGGTTGTGGCCCCGCCCCCTATCACACACAGAACCGCAGGGCGATCAGGGCGTTTGGGCGCTGCCCCCGTCACACAGATCCCGGTGCCGGGAGGCCTCGCGGCTCCGCTGATCCCAGTGCTGGGAAGCATATTACCCTTTTACTATATAGGATAGAGGCCTGGTGCATGGGTGGGGGCTGGCTGGTTTGCCCTGAAGGGTGTCCTGGATCAGGGTGGGGGTCCCCACTGGGGTGCCTGGCCAGCCTGGATGAGGGGATGATGGCTGTTTGCAGCTGGTCACACACCCTTCAGTGTGGGGGTCCCCACTGGGATGCCTGGCCAGTCTGGGTGAGGGGCTGAGGGCTGTTTTCAGGCTGGCGGGTGACTGAAGCTCCCAACCGCTCCTTTTTTTCTTTTTCTTTTTTTTTATTCTGGGCCAGCTTTAGCTCTGAGGTTTGGCTCCAGCTCTTAGGCCTCAGCTGCTGAAAGCAGGTATCTGGTTTGTTTGGGTTCTATAATCGAAACACTGTTTCAACTCCAGCTCTGAGATCCTGGCTGGCTGAAAGCAGGTTTCTGGGGTTTTGTTTAGCTTCTATATTTGTAACAATGTTTCAAACTGCAAGCTCAGAGGCCGGCAGCGACAGGCGGGGAACGTTGGAGTACTCCGTCACTGAAGCAAGCTAGCCTCATGTTCGCTTCAAGCTGCCTGGCTGCCGGCCGCCATATTGGCTGACAGTTAATTTGCATATCACCCTGATTAGCCAATGGGAAGGGTAGCAGAGGTATGGCTAATTACCATGTTTCTCTTTTATTAGATAGGATTTCCCAGGAATCACAGTCAAGAAGTCCATCTACAGAAGTTTTCCCACTGCAGACACAGCTGATTCTCACAGCCAGTTGTCCAGGAGGTCAAATCCCCCTAGTATTAACTACAACAATCAAGGCTTACCTACAACAAGACTGCGCACAAAGACCACTAGGGGGTGCACCAAGAAAGCATAAAAAATGCGGAGACAAAGAAACAGGACAAAACTGTCAATGGAGGATATTGAGTTCAGAACCACACTTTTAAGGTCTCTCAAGAACTGTCTAGAAGCTGCCGATAAAGTTATTGAGATCTACAAGAAATCTAATGAGACCCTTGATGTTATGATAAAGAACCAACTAGAAATTAAGCATATACGAACTGAAATAACGAATATTATACAGACTCCCAACAGCAGACCAGAGGAGTGCAAGAATCAAGGCAAATATTTGAAATGCGAAGAAGCAAAAAACACCCAACCAGAAAAGCAAAATGAAAAAAGAATCCGAAAATACGAAGATAGCGTAAGGAGCCTCTGGGACAGCTTCAAGCGTACCAACATCAGAATTATAGGGGTGCCAGAAGATGAGAGAGAGCAAGATATTGAAAACCTATTTGAAGAAATAATGACAGAAAACTTCCCCTACCTGGTGAAAGAAATAGACATACAAGTCAAGGAAGCACAGAGAACCCCAAACAAAAGGAATCCAAAGAGGACCACACCAAGACACATCATAATTAAAATGCCAAGAGCAAAAGACAAAGAGAGAATCCTAAAAGCAGCAAGAGAAAGAAACTCAGTTACCTACAAGGGAATACCCATACGACTGTCAGCTGATTTCTCAACAGAAACTTTGCAGGCCAGAAGGGAGTGGCAAGAAATATTCAAAGTGATGAATGCTAAGAACCTACAACCAAGATTACTTTATCCAGCAAAGCTATCATTCAGAATTAAAGGTCAGATAAAGAGCTTCACAGATAAGGAAAAGCTAAAGGAGTTCATCACCACCAAACCAATATTATATGAAATGCTGAAAGGTATCCTTTAAGAAGAGGAAGAAGAAGAAAAAGGTAAAGATACTAATTATGAACAACAAATATGCATCTATCAACAAGTGTATCTAAGAATAAAGTGAATAAATAATCTGATGAACAGAATGAACTGGTGATTATAATAGAATCAGGGACATAGAAAGGGAATGGACTCACTATTCTTGTGGGGGAAAGGGATGTGGGAGATGCGGGAAGAGACTGAACAAAAATTGTGCACCTATGGATGAGGACAGTGGGAGGGTAAGGGCAGAGGGTGGGGTGGGAACTGGGTGGAGGGGAGCTATGGGGGGAAAAAAGAGGAACAAATGTAATAATCTGAATAAAGATTTAATAAAATAAAAAAATTTTAAAAAAAGAAAAAAAAGGCCCTGACCAGTTTGGCTCAGTGGATAGAGCGTCGGCCTGCGGACTGTAGGGTCCCAGGTTCGATTCCGGTCAGGGCATGTACCTTGGTTGCGGGCACATCCCCAGTGGCGGGTGTGCAGGAGGCAGCTGATCGATGTTTCTCTCTCATCGATGTTTCTAGCTCGCTATCCCTCTCCCTTCCTCTCTGTAAAAAGTCAATAAAATTTATTTAAAAAAAAAAAAAAAAAAGAAGTCCATCTATGCCGAACCGGTTTGGCTCAGTGGATAGAGTGTCGGCCTGGGGACTCAGGGGTCCCAGGTTTGATTCTGGTCAAGGGCATGTACCTTGGTTGCGGGCACATCCCCACTGGGGGGCGTGCAGGAGGCAGCTGATCGATCTCTCTCATCGATGTTTCTTTTTTTTTTTTAAATATATTTTATTGATTTTTTACAGAGAGGAAGGGAGAGAGATAGAGAGTTAGAAACATCGATGAGAGAGAAACATCGATCAGCTGCCTCCTGCACATCTCCCACTGGGGATATGCCCGCAACCCAGGTACATGCCCTTGACCGGAATCGAACCTGGGACCTTTCAGTCCGCAGGCCGACGCTCTATCCACTGAGCCAAACAGGTTTCGGCCTCTCTCATCGATGTTTCTGGCTCTCTATCCCTCTCCCTTCTTCTCTGTAAAAAATCAATAAAATATATATTTTTAAAAAAGAAGTCCATCTACTATCATCCCCAGTTCCAAAGTATTGTCCTGTTTCTCCTGTACTCATGTTTCACACAAAGTGCTTTTTCCTCAGAACCCTGGTCTCTGCCCTGCAGTCTTCCTGATTCTAATACAGATTTTTCATTTCATCACTTGGAGATTATTCCTTTCTCTTTCATGAGAGGAAGGAAATTACTTGTAGTACAATATTGTCGCTTCTTACTACAATTTATTTCAGCCTGTGCAGGTCATTCTTCTATCACACTAAATTCAAGCATGTCTTTTCTCTGTCATTTTCTCCTAATTAGTACATCAATATTTTTCCCACATTATTCTAAGCTGATAACTTTCTCCCAGGTTGACCATATTTCCAATAAAACATACCAACTTCTTTGCCATTCTTAATCCAGATCTCATACACATCGTGACCACTGCAGCTGTGGTACCATCACCTGCATACAGAGCTCTGTCCTTTCAACTGGTTCGGATATGGGCCTTCTTTCCGGCCTCAACATGGGGCATCTCCCCATTCCCCTAGCTAAAAGTTCTCTTCCACCAAACTCTCCTCATCATCTCTATTTAAGTTTCTCTCTTTTTTGTACATCTACTCCATTACTTCTCACATTTCTATTTCCTAATTCCCAATCAGTTTCACCACAAAGATCCTTTCCCCGTTACTTCCAAGGCAAAATACTTCCCTAGCTTCCTAACATCACTCTCGATGCAAAGCACTGCTCATACTATATTCATCCTATTTTCAATTAAATATTTGTCCTGGTTGGGTGGCTCAGTTGGAGCGTCGTCCCATATACCAAAAGGTTTCAGGTTGGCTTCCCAGTCAGGACACACACCTAGGTTGTGGGTTCAATCCCTGGTCAGGCGTACACGAGAGGCAACATATCAATGTTTCTCTCCCACATCAATGTTTCTCTCGCTCTTTCTCTCTCTAAAAATTCAATAAAAAGATATCCAATTACTGCCTCTTTCCCATTATTCCCTGTATAGACTATTCTTGCCCATGACTCTAAGAATTATCCTCCTAATTCTATATAATAAAAGCATAGTATGCAAATTGTCCCTCGACCAGAGTTCTTCCAGGAGTTCATACAGGGGGTGGGCTGGCTGGGGGAAGGGAGGCCCCAGCTGGCAGATGCTAGGGACCCTACTAGTGCATGAACTTCATGCACTGAGCCTCTAGTCATTTATAATATACTAGAGGCCCAGTGCATGAATTCATGCACCAGTGGGTTCCCTCAGCCTGACCTGTGGGATCAGGCTGAAACCAGCTCTCCAACATCCTCTGAGGGGTCCTGGATTGCGAGAGGGCACAGGCCAGGCCGAGGGACCCCACCAGTGCACAATCAGGGCCGGGAAGGGATGTAGGAGGTTGGCCAGCTGGGGAGGGACTGCAGGAGGGCCCCAGGGCATGTCCAGCCCAACTTGCTCAGTCCGGATCAGTTGGACCCCAGCAGCAAGCTAACCTACCAGTCAGAGCATCTGCCTCCTGGTGGTCAGTGCCCATCATAGCGAGCAGTTGAGTGGCCTTAGCATATTATTAGCATATTATGCTTTGATTGGTTGAAATGGATGACTGGAAGACCAGACACTTAGCATATTAGGCATTTATTATATAGGATATCTCCCTATTTACATATACCACTGCAGAGATCTCTCCTGTCTTCCATCCCTAGGGATTCTTAACCTTTTTTGTGCCATGAATTCCTTGGAAGTCTGATAAAGCCTATAAGCTCCTCAGAATAATGCCTTTAGATGTTTAAGATAGATGAGAGCGAATCATTGATTGCCTGCCTCCTGCAGGCCCCTACTTGGTACTCAGACCGCAACCCGGACATGTACTCTGACCAGGAATCGAACCATGACATCCTGGTTCATAAGTCGATGCTCAACCACTGAGCAACACTGGCCTGACTAATCATAATTCTTTATTAATTTATTAAACAAAAAGATGCCTCCAAAGACTGTAAATTTCTATGAAAAATATCTATGATTTCTACTGGTGACAAAAATCTCAGGTATTGTTGAAACTACTATGGTTTCTGGCCTACATTTATAATTAAAGGAAGCACCAAATTTAGTTTCAAGTTAATAAAAATAACAATGTAATTTCCCCCATCCATAATTAACAGATCCCCTCACAAGAGGTGCATGAAGTCCATATTAAGAACCATACTGTAAACATGGAGGCTTTAAAGAGAAGCTTTTATCCTATGGAATTGAAAGGAATATTAAAAATCATCTGAGCCCTAGCTGGTTTGGCTCAGTGGATAGAGCATTGGCCTGCAGACTGAAGGTTCCCAAGTTCAATTCCTGTCAAGGGCACATGCTCGGGTTTCAGGCTCAATCCCCAGTAGGGGGTGTGCAGGAGGCAGCTAATCAATGATTCTCTCTCATTGATGTTTCTCTCTTTCTCTCCCTCTCCCTTCCTCTCTGAAATCAATAAAAATATATTTTTTAAATCACCTGAACCAAAACTTTTTTTTTTGGGGGGGGGGGTTAATCCTCACCTGAGGATATATTTTCCATTGATTTTTAGAGAGAATGGAAGGGAGAAAGGGGGAGAGAGAAGTGGGAAAGGGAGAGAGAGAGAGAGAGAGAGAGAGAGAGAGAGAGAGAGAAAGAGAGAGAGAGAGAGAGAGAGAGAGAGAGAAACATTGATTGGGTGCCTCCTGTACTTGTCCAGGCCAGGGCTGGGAATCGAACCTGCAACCCAGGTATGTGCCCTTGACCAGGACTTGAACCTGTGACTCTTCAGTGCTCAGGCTGATGCTCAAACCACTTAACCACACCGGCCAGGGTATGAACCAAAACTTTTATGTTATTGATGAGGAAACTGAAGCCTGGAGAAATTATAAGACTTTGAATCTGGCCTGGCTGGTGTGGCACAGTGGTTGAGCATTGACCTATGAACCAGGAGGTCACAGTTCGATTACCGTACATGCCTGGGTTGTGGGCTCGATCCCCAGTGTGGGGCATGCAGGAGGAGCTGATCAATGATTCTCTCTCATGATTGATGTTTTTCTCTCTCTCTCCCTCTCCCTTCCTCCCTGAAATCAATTAAAAATATATAGTTTTAAAAAGGAGCCGTAACCGGTTTGGCTCAGTGGATAGAGCGTCGGTCTGTGGACTGAAGGGTCCCGGGTTCGATTCCGGTCAAGGGCATGTGCCTTGGTTGCGGGCACATTCCCAGTGGGGGGTATGCAGGAGGCAGCTGATCGATGTTTCTCTCTCATCGATGTTTCTGACTCTCTATCCCTCTCCCTTCCTCTCTGTAAAAAATCAATAAAATATATTTTAAAAAAAAAGGAAATTAACTGATGGTCATGTAACATAGTCTAGCTACAATCAGGCGCTTGGCTTACAGCAATCAGCACTCAAATACAGTATCATGCTCCTAGAAGTTTCCTGGTCTTCTGGCATGATTTCCATTATTATTGACAATCTCTATTCAGAAATTAGCAAATCTTTTTCTGTTTAATTTTAAAACATAATGTTCACTACATTGCCTTCTCTCAGGTTTGTCCCATCACATTCTCTTCTCTATATCATCTCAACTACAAGTGTTTTCTTTTCCTTACCATACTCAACTAATCTTTGCTATCAATCTCTTACTATATTTTTACCATCTATACAAAAATTATATGTGGGTTATCTACCATCCCTCACTTCTTAAATATTTGTTTTCAGATAACCTAATTCTTTTTTTCCCTGAAGAAATCATTGCTCTAGACACCCCCAATTTAAAGTTTTCTTCTGCATTTCTCCAAACAGACAGCTCTTTTTCTTCATTCCCCCAGCACATAGCATCCTCCTCACTTGTAATCTCTGGAATGTGTATTTGTACCACATCTTCAAGTTAGCTTAGATTTCTCTCAGCTTTAGCTCACACACACCTTCACACACAAGATCATCTCTGCCCATCCCAATCAAGGCAGAATTCTCCTTTTTCCTGTCATTTAGAGCTTACCGCTCTCTTTGCTCCATTGTTCCTAACATGGAGGACTTCACTATTCACTGAAATTCAAAGCTCCTTTTCCCCCATCATGTTCATATGACTGTTCTTACGATTCTCTAGATCTGTTATGTTGAATATGGTCACCACTGGTCACATGAGGCGACTGACCACTAGAAACATGGCTAGTCTGAATTGAGATGCACTAGAAGTGTAAAATACACACTGGATTTCCAAGACTTAATATGAAAAGGGAATATAAAACATCTCATTGAACACTGATTAATGCTGAAATAATATTTTGAATATATTGGGTTAAATAAAATATTAAAGTTAATGTCACCTATTTCTTTATCCTTTCTAACATGGCTAATAAAAATTTTTAATTACATAAATGGCTTGCTAGACAGCACTACTCTGGACTTTTCTATTGATTCATACTTTTAAATCTTCCCTACTAATTAAAAATTCTCTCTTCTTGTATCACACCTTCTCCAATTACATTCACTGCTTCCCATACTCCAAACTTAGAATTATTTTCAATCTGCCGTTATCAATACCTTTTCTACCTCATTATTTCTGTACACAGTATTTCTTTGTGCCTACAATATAGCTTCTATCCATTCAATCAAATTATAATAAAGTTTCTTCCTCATCAATTCTTGTAGGGTGGTATCTGTTTCAACTCTCAGCAATTTTTTAAAAAAATGTCCTTATAATTCCCCAAAAAAGGAAGTTCACTCATCATTTGCCAAATTGGCCTATCTTCACTATAATTTCATTTAAAGGGGCTAGTAATTGTAAAACACTAAACTAATGTAAATTAATAATTTCAGACCAATATCTCCTATTCATACTAAGACAGAAACTCCTCCTCTGTCATTTTAAAGATATAATTATTTCTCCAAATTCTTCTAATTTTGAGGTTTCAGTCCCATTATTTAAGCAGAGAACTCTCTTATTTCACACAAAATACTCAAATACAATTCTCAAAATGGTACATTTATTTTCCCACCACTTTTGCAATGGGCCATGTGTCATCATCACTCCTCAAACTAATATTATGTCCAACATTTCTGGAGTTGCCTTTTCTTGTCCCAACTATTTTAGGGGGGAATCAAGACTGGGCAGATGGGTATGAATGGTATGGTGAGGAGAGTTGGGAAAGTTTGTACTGGAAGTGGTAAGTAGCAGTCACAGATAAGATCTCTTACTCATTATCTTCTTGGAATGTTTCTTCTGAAATCTCTCCTTACTGCTGTGCCCCAGAAACCCCCCTGTAGACCCTTTCTGTGTATCTCTTCCCAATATGAATGATTACCTTCACTCCAGCACTTCTCAAAATTTTTTCTCTGTAAGGACTCCTCCCCTCATTTTTTTTAAATCCTCACCTGAGGATATTTCCCCATTGATTTTGAGAGAGAGTGGAATGGTGGAGGAGGAAGAGAGAGAGAGAGAGAGAGAGAGAGAGAGAGAGAAACATCGATGTGAGAGACACATCAATTGGTTGCCTCCTGCATGAGCCCCAACTAGGATTGAACCCTGGACCCTTCAGTCTGTGGGCCCATGCTCTATCCACTGAGCAAAACCAGCCAGGCCCCTCACATCATTCTTAGCAAATAAATTTCTTATCTTTACTCTAAGAGTAAGTTTCTTTTTTTGCTTCCAACATTTTCCTCAGATGATGATCTTTCCTTCATCATTCTCTTTATATAAATTCTAGTTTCCCATTACTTCTAGTACTGAAAAACCTTTTTAAAAATTACTCCTACTGTTGAAACTTTCCCGTTTCCTACCTGTATATTTATTTAGCTCTCATCCAGTCCTCTCAAGACAGAACTCTTTCTGATCCACACACTTCTGATCCAGATAGTGCTCATTTTTCATCTAGCCCTGCTAAAAATCCCTGTACATCTCTCTTCCAATAGGCAGCTCTCTCCTTTCTAATATTCTCTCTTTGGATAATGTGGGTGTAAAGCTCATTTGTTGTTACTTTCCCTTATTCTTCCTTCCTCAATATTTCTCTTCTGTTCTTTTCCTCTGCTTATTCCTTTCTCTCTCTCTCAGTGTCTGGCTTTACAGTCAATATTCTATCTGCGTCAGAAAAGAGCACCCATTTTACAAATGGTTCAATATCAGAACTGAGGGAAACCTGAGAGAGTAGGACAAGCTGCTTGTTTTTCCATGGTTTGGGCATATTCCCCTTCAGTTCTCTGGAACTGAGGTGTCTTCCTTTCTCCTCCCCCACAGCTTATCTCTTCCCTAGGTGTGTCTGGTTCTTCTTCTGCTCCTATTGCCTCCAAAGGTCAATTTCAAGAAAGGGACCAGAAACCTATTATCAGGAATTGCCTTCTCCTGGCAAAGGACAAAAAATTATTGCATCTCCTCCTGGTCTTCACTAGAATCAGCCCCCATGCCTCCATGGGTCACTACTAAGCTGGTTGAGATGAACGGTTAAGCAAAGGCAGATCTATCCTGATGCTACAGAAGTTTAAGATTCAGGAACCCTGCACTTGCATGTGGCCCTTATTTTTCTTAAACAGGGCCCACCAAACTGTATAAGCTTTGGATGTCAGCACACCCGGATCGGTCTCTGGATGGGGAGGAGCATTTTCGGCTACTAAGGGTGAAGGATCAATAAATAGGAAGCCAGGAGCTCTCTAAATAGATCTATTCTAAACAGGGTTCAGTTTAATACACCCTGTCTCTATTTAGAGGGCATCTTCTTCCCATGGAGGACCCAGTGTTCCTGCATTAGCTTAGCTGAATCTCCTAGTTCCAGAATCTTAGCTGAATTCTTGACTCCAGGCTTTTGGGCTGCACCCAGCCCAGCCCAGCCCAGCCTCTCTCTTGGCATCCCAGTGAGCCCTGGTCCAGCAGGTGCTAAGCCCCCTGCTAGCTAAGGTTTCCTTAGGGCCACTACTCAGTTATTACGGCTTAGCTCTAAATATGCCAATTCAGAAGTGACCTCTTCCACTAAGATGAAGATGGGTCATCAACATGGTCACCACCACTTTAAGACCCTCCCTTTGCCCCTGCATCCACGGAGCCCATTTGGGGTCAATACAACCTTCTCAGAAGCCAGAAGTGCCCCCCTCTTAACTGACAGCTGCCCCAATGTACCCTCACCCTGGGGTCTTGCTGCTGTCCTTAGGAATCCCACACTTGCAGCTTCTCTATTCCCAGCATCTGAGGAAAATGAAGGGATTCTGAAAAGAAGATGCAGCAGAGCCAAGGCTTGAGGACTAGAATGCAGAAAGGAAAGACACTAATTTGGAAGTCTTTGTCGAGGCTTCGGGCACTTTGGAGACAGAGCAGGGCTGCGATTCTGGGATTTAGAAGTGCTCTGTGTGAAGGGAACCGGAGGTGGTTCCCAGAACCCGCCATTTGGGGGGTCTGGGATTCCAGGGCTCCAGGCAAGTGTCCAGTCTGAGTAGCCTGATGTTGGGATTTCCGGTAAGGAGCCTCCCGCCCGGCTCCCTGGTCAGCCCCAGCACTTACCCGGCAGACTTGGGAAAGTCTCTGAGAAGTGCGGAGGCAGGGGCGGTGGGGGCTCTGCCACTTTCTCCCGGGCCGGCAGCAGTTCTTCGGCTTCCAGTCCACCCTCTGGGCGTCGGCCGCCGGGCTCAGGGTTGTTTCGGGCGGCGGCGGCAGCAGCAGCAGCAGCAGCGAGATCTGGGGGCCCGTAGAAGGCGTCCGGCGGCTCTGCAAAGCTGGGCAGCGCGGTGGTCAGCGCCACCATCGAGGGCACAGCCTGCCCCAGCCCGGCGCAGAAGGTGTTGGTAAGGCGGCCGGCAAAGGAGGCTAGCGGGGCGAGGGGTGGGAGGCCGGTGGGGAGCGGCGCAGGGGCCAGCGCCTGCGGCAGCACGAGGGGCCGGTAGGGCATGAACATGGGGTAGCCGGTATAGAGCAAGTGGCCAGAGCGTGGCGGCGGTGGCCCGATCAGGGAGTCAATGGAGAAGGCAGTGCCCGGGCCCCCACCACTGCCCCCGCCGCTGCCCCCGGGGGCGCTTCCGCCTCCAGCTCTCTGCATGGCGCTGGGAGCTGTGGCCGCCCCGGGGAGTCCCCTCTGGGCACCGCCGTGCGCCCCGCGGCTCGGGCGCCCGAGCGGACACGCAGAGCTGGCTCCTGGCTCCCGGGCCGAGGTGGCGCGAGGCTCGGGCTCAGCGCAGTGTGGCTCCCGTGCCGCGTTCCCTCTCTCTCATAAGGAGGGAGGGGGCGGGCGAGCGGGCGGGCTGGGGGTGTCGCCCTCCGGACTCATCCATCTTCTTCAAATTACGCTTCACTTCCTCCCTCCGCCCGCTGCGGAGCCCGCCCGCTCCCTCAGCAGAGCCTGTTCCCAGCGGCCCGACCCGCCCGCCCCCCGCGGCCCAACCAACTATTATTAATGGAGATTGATGAGTCCGGACACACCGCTTTGTGAAAGTTTGCGGCCAACGAGAAGACGGCTGCAGCTGTTGGGCCAGTGCCCCTCCTACCACCCAGCCCGCCCCGACCTAGCCCAATCGGCCGGGTGTGGACTGGGCGCGGGGCGGCAGGCAAGGAGGGCGCGCCGTGAGGGGCAGGCTCAGACCGAAGTGCCGCAGCCCCCAGCCAACCCCGGCTCAGGCTGCTGCCCTCTGTCCGACCCAAGCCAGTCTCCCGGTGTCCCAGCCCCCGGGGCGAAAGACCTGGCAGCTCCAAAAGCAAGCCCAGAGGGGCAGACGAGACAGCACCTCGGTGCCCGCTTGGGCGGCGGGGCCGGCCGGCAGGGGGCGCACTCCGCTGCGGGGCACCGAGGCTCAGGGCCACTCACATCGGCCCTTTTCCTTCTCAGTTGGTCGTGTCCTCCCAGCCCCATCCACACTCTCTCCCCTGGTCTCTCTTGGCATTGGCTCTTCCTTCCTTGGAACCCTCATTTCCTCCTCCTCCTCCTCTATGGTGGACTCCCTTAGTCCCTCACTCTGGCCTCCTGGTCATTTCCGGAAGGGCCCACACTATGCCAAGCGCTTAGCATCCCTCTCACCTTTCCTCCTCCTCCGTCTTTCTCCCATCCTTTCCATTCTTTTCCTTCCTCCCAATCTTCTTTCCTGCCCCTGTCTATCCCTGCTCCTATTTGATCATTACTATTTCTCACTCCCTACCCCAGTGCACCTTATTCTATTTCCCCCCTCATTTTTCGCCTATATCTGTATCTCCTGTCTGTCTTTCTGTCGCCGCCCCCCCCCCCCCTTCTCCTCTCTCCCTCTCTCACTATTAATTTCCCTGATTGGCTCCCCAGCTCCAGCGCTGCTGATGAGCCCTATTCATTCCTGGGCCTGACACTATCGACCTGCCCTGGCTGATTGCTGGGGGCTGGCCCCAGGCGTGCTGATGAGCCCTAAGGGTCAGCAGCGCTAATTATCTGCTAATTGCTGATGACTCTGCTCACCTTCCCCATTCTCACATACTGAAATGGTGGTCTTTTTTATTCTCCCCCTCCTGATTCCCAGCAGAAGAGTTGTCTATGAGGCAAAAGTCATGGGCACTTTTGCTTGATAGGAGCCTCAGGTCAGAAACAAGTCAACAGAAGAGTGAATTGAGCTTCAGTACATAGAGCAAGCCTGGCCCGCTAAAATGGGGGTCATCTGGTCACTGGGAGAGCCACGCTAGTTAGAATTAATAGTAGCAAAGCCACACAAAGGAGCAAAGTTTAGGAGGATGATTTGGCTCAGGTGAGGATGAAAACTTACGCCAAAGAGTCTCAGAGTTTCTGAGGCAAAACAGAGCAGGGCAGAAGGGACCCCTGGATCTCCGTGACATTTGTTCAGTTCAGGAGTGTTGTGTTGGCCTAGTGAACAACACTAATGTCAGGCTAATGCATTAAAAATCAGCACCCCGAAAGACACTGTTACCAGAGTGGGACAAAAGATGGTGAGACCCAAGAAAGGAGCTTTCTTTTGTTATGCTTGATTGACAGTTCATCAGAGAGGTAAAGGGAGAAGAGTGTGATTTCCATTCCGTCCTGATTGTGGGCTCTACATTAAACTTCTGAGATGAGTCTGGTGGGAAGATGCTACCAGGGAGAAAAAAAGAGGTGGCTTAACTTAGGTCTGGGAAGCCCAACTCACTACTAAAGTACAAGGATAATCCTTGCACATTCTTCTAAAGATATCTGTCAGAACCCTTTGTGAAATTAACCAAGTACTTCATGGCACCAATATGGAAGACTGGACTTTAAAGTGTATTGTACTTAAAAAGTGAGATAGAGGTCAGTACTTGGTTTGATGGCTTTAGAGTATTGGATACACAATAAGAGGCTTATTTTTAAAAATATATATATTTTATTGATTTTTCACAGAGAGGAAGGGAGAGGGACAGAGAGTTAGAAACATCGATGAGAGAGGAACATCGATCAGCTGTCTCCTGCACACCCCCCACTGGGGATGTGCATGTAACCAAGGTACGTGCCTTGACCGGAATTGAACCTGGGACCCTTCAGTCTGCAGACTGACGCTCTATCCACTGAGCCAAACCGGTTAGGGCAATAAGAGGCTTATTGACTTGATAAATTATCGAGGGAACTTTTGGGCTACAAACTGAACTTAAAAGCTCTATTAGTAACAACACCAATAAAATAAACCATGAAGGAAGACCCATTTTTAAAAGTAATTGCATTCATGTTTGCATAGGTAATAAAATCAGATAGCACAAAGTTCCAAAAGCTCAAAGGGTATATATATTGAAACATTTCCCTCCCACCAGTCCTTTCAGTAAAAGACCACTTTAATAAGCCTATCACTCTCTGGTGGGGCAGAATGGATTAGTCAAAGAGCTGGTGCAAGGATCAAGTGAATATGAGGAAATACCTTTCAAAATGAGTTTCTGCAGTAAGTGGGCCAAGAAGAGCGGTGTAGTCAAGAATGGAAGTCCCCCCCTCGCCCCCAAAGAAAGAAAAAATAAATAGAATAAAATAAAATATATGCACTAATTCTAAAAACAGAAAGAAGAAAAGAATGGAAGTCCCCAAATCCGTGGCTCTCCTATCAGTACCAAGGACAGAAGCCATTGCTGTCAAATCTTTACCAAGAGAAAACTGGTTCTCCCCCTGAATCCGGAAACGGGTCCCTTGAAGGTAAGCACCTCCTCTCACTGCCTAAAATGTTATTCTAAAAGTGCTTCTTTAATTGTCTATGTGCTCTGACTTGTCCCACTCTCACTATTCCATCTGTCGGGGAAATGCTCCTGCAGAGGAATTTTATTTTGAATCTACTCTCTCTACTCGTACAAGTCTATGCCAGAGCCCATCATCTGGCCTCCCCTTCATTGATTAGAGGTCAGAACCTAGGATGCTAAGAATAAACACAGTATTCTAAAATCAAAGCCAACAGCCCTTATCTGGTTTGGTTCAGTGCATAGAGCCTCAGCCCTCGGACTGAAGGGTTGCCCCGGGGTTCCATTCTGGTCAAGGACACCTACCTCAGTTGCAGGCTAGATCTGGCCTGATCCCGGCTGGTCAGGGCATTTGCAGGAGGCAAACAATGGATGTCTCTCTCTCACATCAATGTTTCTCTCTCTGTGTGTCACTCCCCCTCCCTTCCACTCTCTATCTTTTAAAAAAATATATTTTTATTGATTTCAGAGAAGGGAGAGGGAGGGAGAGATAGAAACATCAATGATGAGAATCATGGATTGGCTCCTCCTGCTGGCCCCACACTGGGGATCGAGCCCACAACCCAGGCATGTGCCCTGGCCGGGAATCGAACTGTGACCTCCTAGTTCCTGGGTAGATGCTCAACCACTGAGCCATGCTACCTAGACCCTTCCACTCTCTCTAAAAATCAATGGAAAAATATCCTCTGATGAGGATTAACAAGATAAACAAACAAAAAGTTAAAGCCAACAGATACTGCCGCCTCACTCAGGGACGGGAGTCCACTGCCGGTGGGCAGCGACAGGCCCTGTCCGCGAGTACCCTCTGGTGGCAGCAGAGTGCAACTGCGTCACCGCGACAGCGCCTCCTCGCTTCGGTCCGGGAGGTGCCCCAGGGCAACGGAGTGGGATCCGGGCAGCCGGCCGGGGCCCGGCGCGCCAGGGGCGCTGCGCTGCTCGGTACGTACCTGAGTGCACTGGCTGGGCATGAGGAGTGTACACGGGAGCTTAAAGTCCAGTGTGCACGCGAGCAGGTTTGTCCAGGGACCCGAACCCTGCGTATCTGCTGTGTTCAAGGTGTGCTGTCTGCGTGTGAGCACGTGTTACACGCGGTGGGTGGGTGGTGGGGAGGTCCGCGCCTCCAGCGCAGGGCGGAGTCCTCACGGAGGCGTGAAATTGGTTTGGAGCAAACACATTACGGAAAGCAATTACCGGGGAGAGGTTCTAGGCCCGCGGGACCGGCAGCCCGGAGGCTGGAGGAAGCTCCCTGGCTGCAGGAGTGTCTGGGTGTCTAACCCTGGAAAGGGCCTTCCCGGCACGGCCGGCGGGGAGGTGGGAAGCGGGCGGCAGCCTCTCCCCTGCCCCCTCCGGGGCCTCCCGGCTGTGGCTGGAGTCCTCGCCCTAATGGTCGGGGAGAGGCCAGTGCCCTCTTCCCAGCTGCCTGCCCTCCCCTCCCCTTCCTCCTCCCGCCCGCGGCTCCGGCTCCGCGTCCACTCCATTGCCCCTTGCACTGAGCTAATTCCTCACACTTGTTTCTCAGGTTAGAGTCGCCGTTAGACGGAAGGTTCACTGAGGGCAGGACAGGCCCCATTCCCAGCTACGAGCCTAAACCCAGGCAGCAGGAAGCCGATGGCGCGGACGGCGTGAGGGGACTTCCGGGTGGGAGGGGGGAGTGGAGCGCACAGGGGACATGGTGACGGAGGGAGGCCGCGCGCGGGGCGGCAAACACATGACACACTATGCAGAGGACGTGCCGCGGCGCCGTACAGTCCCATTAGCCAATGCCGCCCCATCAACTCAGTAGGAAGAAAACATTTTCCATCAGAACGCACACACGGCGCTCTCGGAAAGCCAGGCATCCTCGAGAGCGGGGGTCCGCTTGGAGCAGAGCGTTCAGCCTCCGCCACCGCCCAGCGGCCCTCGTCCTGCCTTCCAGACCCGCAGACCAGCCGCCGGCCCGCGGCCTCGGGACGCTCGTGCCCGGGAGCCCCATGGAGCCCGGTCCGCGCGCCTGCCCCTCTCCGCCGCGTAGTCAGCACGCTCGGTCCTGGCCCCGGCCGCCCGTCCTTCCGCGGGGCCCGGGGTCTGGGAGGGGGCCTGGCCTGCGGCCTCCCCGTCGGCCGGGCCGCCCCGCAGCCCCTGACTCTCCCTCCCCCGCCCCCGCCAGCCACTCGGGCCGAGCGACCCTTTAAACCCGTCGGTCCGCGAGCCTCCGGCGGGCTCCTCCCCGTCACTCAGGCCCCGGGTGAAAGCAGAGGCCACCTCCTCAAAGAGGGGCGTCCCTGCCCCCTCACACCCTCCCTTCACACCGCTCCCCATCGCCCTGCGTGCCCCCCTCACACCCTCCCCGAACACCGCTCCCCATCGCCCGGCCAGTCAAGCGGGAGCCGCTCCTTCCGGGTCTGCTTAGCGCCCCCGACTGGGCGGACCGCGCCGCTGAACCCGTGAGCGGACACCGGGGCTTCTCCCCGGGCTGCGCCCTCCAGAGGCCGAAGCACAGAACGTCCCCCCCCCATGTACCCCTCCTGCCCCGGCACACGCCTCGCGGAAACCGCTCTTGACGCGTCTCTCACAACCCGCCCCGACTTGTCCCGAGGCGGGACCTGGACGCCCCACACAGCCCGCCATCCGCCTGACCTCTGTGGGCCTGGGCTCCCGGCGCCGGCCCTCCTGGCCAGGCGTCCGTCCTCGCGCCGCGCCCCGCAACCCCCAGGCAGCCCAAGGCCAGAGAGGCCCGGTGGGAAGCCAGGCTCACTCACCTCGGCCGGCCCGGCCGCCTCAGCTGCTCCTTCAACCCGCGAGCTCCGCGCCCTCCAAGCCCCGCCCCGCCGCCTCGCGCCCTCCAGGCCAGCCCGGCTGTTGGCGGGAAAATCGTGAACTCCGGCGCGTGCGCACTCTGTGGCCCTGGAAATCTGTCTAGCAACCGTGTCGTCACGGATTACAGTGCACTTGATTGGCTGCTCTGCGGCTCCGGTCAACTCCGCCTCCCTCCCTTCCTCCTGTCCCTGCAGGCCGGCTCCTGGCTGCTGGGGACCCTGCAGGTTCTTAAAATCCTGGTTCTGCAAAGGGCCTCAGGAACTCCCTCCTGTCTTGTTTTACAGCCCAGAGCGGGGAAGAGACTTACGTTCCGTAAGTTAATGGCTAGAACCCAAGGGCGTAACTCTCAGTTCAGCTCCTGCCACCTCGAAGCTAAATTGAAGGAGCAGATCAACAGTGGCAGGAACCAGTGTGTATCCGATGCTCCCTGACCTACAGGACAGGGAAGAGGGAGAGCTTTGGGGGAGTTTATTTTTTTCTAAACCTGGGCCTTCCACTCTCTCTTCATGCATGGTTACCCCTCCATGCTTGCCCACGTGGGCACCTAACTTCCCCTTGGCCTTTCTGTCCTCCGGCCCTCTCCCCACTCCCAGCTACCTTTACTCTCCTGCCCCACTGTCTGCACGGCCTCGTCTGCTGAGGCTCTGCCCTAACCCTAGTCATCTACTGGCCGGCTGTCCTTTGGGACTTTTCTGACACTATCACGGGGCTCAGGGGCAGGGCTCTGCCTGGGATCCCTCAACAGCTGGTGGATGCCAGAGGGGGAAGGTGACACGGCTGGCACCATGGAACAGATCCAGTCTGCCCATCCTGAGGCCCCAATGAGTGGGCCAGCTCAGAGGCAGGCCTGTTGGAGATAATACCCAACAACACAGGTCTGGAGACTTTAATGTGCATGCAGGATTCAGACTGTCCAGAGGGGATCCTGGGAGATCCCCAAGAGAAGAGTATCACTTGCCATGAGTCCTCGCTCTCTCTCCAACAAACATGGTCCATCCGCCTCTCCCTGGTGGGAATGGCAGCATCCACTCTGCCCGTGGAGATGGACCTCCGGCTGAGAGGGCCACCTGGGCTGGAGTTGGTTCCATTCAGTCCTGGGCTTGGTGCACTGTGAGAAGCAGGCCAGAGCCCCTGGTGTCCAGGGCACTTGCTTTTAGGCTCTCTCCAAGTGCAGCGTTCATCTGGAAGGAGAGACGTGCATTCAGAGAGGTCCAGTGCTACGGGAGGCTGGCTGGTTCTGGCCAGGACACTGCCCCCAACTCCCCTCTTGCCCCCTACCCTCCCCCTCCAAAAAAAAAAAAAAAAAAGAACTCCTGCTGGGACTGTCCACAGAAGCCAGGACTCACCTAGTAGAGCACGTCCTCAAAGTCCAGCTGCAGGTAGCGGAGCAGGCGGGGCGGCAGGGGAAGGCGGGGCAGGGCGTGGGGCAGGCAGGCCTCTAGGTGAGCTCGGAGCACACAGCGGCTCAGGTGCTGCAGCGATCGGGGCTGCCTCACCAAGGCAAAGAGGGAGGAGTAGAATCGGTGGTGCTTCTGGGGATAGAATGGAGGGCTCAGCGAGGCAGGCTTCGACAAGAGGCACCCATTCCTCCCACAGGGGTAGGCTGGTGGCCAGTGGGTATCTTCTGAAGCCTCTTGGGGTGTTCACTCTGACTTTTCTTCTTCTGGGACATTAGAGGGTCTCTGAATAATTTCTGTGGGGCAGAGTGGGGGGACCCATGGGGTTTCCTTTAGGAGGTGGGAGTCTCTTGGACAGGCTGAGCGATTGTGTGGTCAGGGTCCTGGAGTCTAACCTGCAGAATTTCAGGAGGTACCAGACCCGCGGCCTCCTCAGGAAGCTTCATGACACTGTAGGTGTTCATCAGGACCTCGATGGTCCGCGGGGACGTACACCAGCGTTCCAGCACCTGGATGAGGCAGAGGTAGTGAGTGTGCCCAGGGTTACCCCACATTGCAGGTCCCAGTCAGTCCATCCAGGATGACCAGCCAGCCCAGAACAGCTGTTGTGGCTTTATATCCTCCCCAAAGGATATGTGGTTGTCCTAACCCCTAGGACCTATAAATGTGACCTATTCAGAGATAGGGCCTTTGCCGATGTAATCCAGTTAAAATGAGGCCATTAGGCCCTAACTGGTTTTGCTCAGTGGATAAAGCATCGGCCTGTGGATTGAAAGGTCCCGGGTTCGATTCCAGTCAAGGGCATGTACCTTGGTTGCAGGCACATCCCCAGGAGGGGGTGTGCAGGAGGCAGCTGATCAATGTTTCTCTCTCATCGATGTTTCTAACTCTCTATCCCTCTCCCTACCTCTCTGTAAAAAATCAATAAAATATATTTTAAAATGAGGCCATTAGGGTGGGTCCTAATCCAATATGACTGCTATCTTTATAAGAAGAGAAAACAGAACACAGACATCACACAGGGAGAATGCCATGTGACAATGGAGGCAGAGATTGGAGTGATGAGCCTACAAGTCAAGGAACGCCCAGGATTGTGGGCAGCCACCAAAAGCTTGGAGACAAGCATGGAACAGATTCTCTCTCAGAGCCTCTGGAAGAAACCAACCTTGCCCACACCTGGATGCAGTGAGGGCAAGCCATGCCAGGAAGCTGCCCATGCTGGGAGACCATCCACGTGGTCAGAAAGGCAACCACGCACAGGTGTGGCACACACAGGTACTGTCATACCCACCCATGCCTGCATGTAATACCCATAAGCAGATTCGTGCTTCACCTCCATTTCTTGCTATATGTCAAGCTACCGGCCACAGATTCTTTGTAAAATCTGAAAACAGCCAGGTGCCATGTTCCAGGCAGCATCTCTGTACATACCCCACTTTCCTCCCCACACACTGTCATTAGGGGCTTTAACACCCTGCACAAGGAGAGAAGACCCATCTGCCTGGCCGGCTGGGAGTGCTGCATGGACTGGGCACCGTCAGATAATGGGAGCAGGGGGAAGGCCTTGTCCAGGAAGCAGGACCCCTGGAGAAAGCATCGCACACACCCACGGCCCTCTGCTTCTGGCCCTGCATCGGGGCAGTGCTCACCAAAGCTGCCCCAGCTATCTGCCCAGGGCAGGCCTCTTTTCCTCACTCCTTAGAGCTAGGAAGTTGCAAGCTGGTTACATCGGACTTCCCTGCTCGACCTGCTCCTCCTGCCTGCCGTTGGGGCCAGCCTCTGTCTGTCCTGGCCCACGTTGATTTGTCTCTGCACGCTGCCTGGAATGCCCGTGCCTCCAGCTCTTCAAGCCCAAGTCCCCTCCCCTCCAGGAACTCTCCTGCGTTCCAGCCTGTGCCTCTCTCTCCCTTGTCTAGTGATACCCTACATTGGGATAACGCCTAACAGCTTTCCAAGTGCTTTCACATACACTATGCAATTTCAAAACAATGCTAGCTAACAGGGGTTGCACACGGGCTCCAGTTAGGCCCTGTCCAAAGAGCTTTGTATGTGTAAACTCGTTTAGTTCTCACACTAACCTAAGAATCAGGCATACTGTTATGTTCCTATTTTACAGATGAGGAAACTAAGGCCCAGAGAGACTAAGCAGCTTGCCACAGGTCGCCCAGATAGGGTGCCTGGCTCCAGAGCCTGCCCTCTCAGCCGCCACCTGCCTCAGAGGTTGTTGGGAGGTCTAAGGGGACCCATGTAACAGGTCACACACCTTCAGACGGTGTCTGTGTGTGGGCAGGACTGTGCTGGCTCTATGCTGCCCACTGTGCTCCAATCGCTTTTCATCACGGTTGGTCGCAGGGAACTTGGGTTCAAAAAATCCCAGTGACTTGCCTATAGTCACATGAGCATCAAAACCGGTCTCCTAAGTGCTCAGTCCCGTATGGTGGCTCCTAGAGAACTGGCTGGGGCTGGCAGTGGTCCCAGGTGGGCCACGGAGACCTCCTAGCAGGGAGGAGCTCCTTACCAGAGAACAGGCATCCCAGCGAGCCTGGCATAACTGTCCAATCATGGGGAAATGGATCCTGCACTTTCCGATCACGAAGGGATGAATGGGGCTCTTTGCTGTGTGGCCCCAGTGGTCCGGGAGGCAGGGAGGAGCAGGGCCAGAGGGGCAGGCAGAGGGGTCCTGGGAAATCTGCTCGCTGTTCCACCTCCTCCTCCCATCCTGTTTCTGACTCCGGGAATCATTAGCTGTCAGAGCCACTGTCAGATTACAGGGAATTACTTGTCTCCTAATTATCTGGTGTTAATAGGAGATTAATTAGTGTTAATTGTTGATTTTCTTGTATTCTCCCAAAGGGGAGACCAATCTGCCGAACTCTCAGGCTGCTTAATTATTTGGTCTTGCTTAGGAATCTAGACAAATGCTTCTAGGTTTGTGAGTGGAGGGGAAAGGTAGGGACAGAAGGGGAGCATCCAGGACAAGGCCAGGCTGGACAGAATAAGCAGGGAGATAGGGCAGGGGCACCTGCCCACAGCCATATCAGTCCTGACCCAACCCAAGACCCAGTGCCCTTCATGACGTCATATAGCCACCTCCAGACATGACACTGCATGGGACAGGGCCCCCTGCCAGGGCATCAATAACAGGTCTTCCCGGTGAACCCCCTTTGGGGACGTTAACATAAATTAAGAGACAGATTGGAAATTGACAGTGAAGGATTTTTTCTCAGGTGCCAGGACAGCCGCGCGGGACTGGGTGATGCCTGTCCTGCCAAGCACTCAGAAACCAGGACCAAGCTCGTCTCAAACCTCGAACCCAGGCTCATCACCTGCTCAGGGGAGCCTCGCCTGAGCTTCCAGTGTCTCACAGATCGGCCCACAGCCAGGCAGAGCTGCCTAAGGGCTTTTTTTTTATCAGCTCACTTCTGTCCGCATCAGTCCTGGCTCCTCCTCTCAGACTCTTCCAATCCTTTATAATCTGGCCCCACTGCCCTCAGTCCATATGGAGTGCACATGTATATGTACACACATGTGTGTGCACATGGGTGCATGCTCACACATGTGTACACACACACTCCTTTGCTGGTCTGTGTCCTCACCTCTGCCCCCTGTTGGGCTTTGCTGGCTTGTGGAATGAAAGACAGACTGAACTGACCTATAAAATGCCCAAGTGGCCTGGGCTACATATACCCAGAGGGTGTGGGTACACAGGCCTGGTCCCCTGTTCCCTGGCCTTCGTTGCCCTCCCTCTGCCCCCAGCCCCGTACCTTGGGGAGAGCCCCAGGCCAGATTCGGACAGCACCGTGGTTGAGCAGAGCTCGCACTGCATGCTCTGGGCTCTGGGCCAGGGCCAAGGGTGGGCCCTGCAGAGCACAGTGCAGGGCTGTGTGTCCCCCATAGTCCATGGCGTTGACACTGACGCCACAGGACAGGAGCAGTTCCACGATGGCCCCATAGCCGCGGAGACAGGCCAGATGCAGGGGCCGCCGCCTGTCCTGGTCGGCAGCATCGGGGTCGGCACCGGCTGAGAGCAGCAAGCGGCACAGCTGGAGGCAGCGGGCTGCGGTGGCCTCAGGGTCAGTGGCGGGTGTGCAGCGGGTGTCACAGGCAGCCAGCAGCGGTGTCCAGCCTTCAGCGTCTCGGGCATCTGGGTCCGCGCCCCGTCTTAGAAGTAGGTCTGCCAGCTCCACATGACCCAGCCGGGCGGCCACATGCAAAGGGGTCTCCTCTTCCTCCTCGGACCGACCATCCACTTTCGCCCCAAACCTCAGGAGCAGCTCTGCACACCTAGTGAGGGTGAGAGGGCGGTGGGAAAGAAAATGGGGTGCAGCCCTTCACCCTTGCATTTCCGCCAGTTTGAGCAAAGCGAACACGGGGGAGCCTTGGGTGGCTCCTGGTTCTGTATGCCCTCACCTCCCATCTTGTCACTGGCCATCCAGCAACATTCTGCAGGATCAACAATGCCCTCTCTTCAAACCCACACACACCCTGCAGGAATAGTGCACTAAACCCTCAATGGCAGGAACAGTCACAAGGCGCCATGGTGCACTCACAACAGGCAGCTTCCGGGCGCCTGACCTGCACTCACTTGTTTCCTAGGGCAGGTTCGGATGGGGAAACGGAGGCACTGAGGGCGTGAGGCTCTCACCCACGTTCGCACAGCTAGTAAGGGGAGAAGCTGGCCTTCCAGTCCAGGGACAGCAGGGGAGTTAGAGGGACTGGAGGAGGGGATGGGGGAGTGGGGCCTGGCAGTGAGCACAAAGAAAAACAAAACTGACCAGCCAGGCTTCAAGGCTAAAGGCATTAGCCTCTTTGCTAAGATCAGCTCCAGCTTCCTCATCTGTAGAATAGGGATAATTGCTGAAATCTAGACCTAAATGACGCTGTTGTGGGCCGCATAGGCCTGAAAAGCTGTTATCCTAAGGACTCTTAGCAGCAGCGTTAATGGCAGGGAGAGGTGGGCGGTATAGATGATGATGGATCATTATCTTATCCTGCCCACATGTCTGTGTTTGAAATTCTCCGTAATGATTTTAGATATACATTTGCTTACTCAAGAAAGGAAGGAAGGATCATCACTGGGTGTCACTTCAAGGGGGCTGAGCTGGAACATGGCCAGAACTAAAAATAGGAGCCCTCTGAAGGCTGATGAGGTCACCAGGCAGAACTGCGTTGTCCAATCAGTAGCCATCAGCCACTTGTGGCTATTGAGCACTTGCAATATGATTAGTCCTAACTGATACCCACTAAGTGTAAAATCACATCAACTTGAAGATAGTACAAAACAAGAATATAAAACATCTCATTAGGTTTTTTTGCTATTGATTATATGTTGAAATGATAACATTTTGGATATATTTTGTTAAATGAAATATATTATTAAAATTAATTTCAGTTGTTTCACAGATATTTTATACACGCGTTCACAGCAGCATTATTCACAACAGCCAAAACATGGAAGCAAACTAAGTCTCCATCAATAAATGAATGAATGGGTAACTGACATGTGGCATCTACATGCAATAGAATATTATGCAACCTTTAAAAAGAAAGGAAATTCTGATACATGCTACAGCATGGATGAACCCTGAGGACATTATGCTAAGTGATATAAGTCAGTCACAAAAGGACAAACACTATATATTCCACTTATGTGAGGTAGTCAGAGGAGTCAAAGTCATAGAGACAGAAAGTAGAATGGTGGTTGCCGTGAGGGGTGGGGGAATGGGAAGTTATTGTTCAATAGGGCTGGAATTTCATTTTGTAAGATTAAAACTTCAGGAGTTGGATGGATGGTGATGATGGTTACACAACAATGTGAATGTACTTGCATACTTAGAAATGGTTAAGATGGTAAATTTTATGCTATGGGTATTTTGCCATTGTTTAAAAAATTAATTTCACCTGTTTCTTTTTCATTTTATGATAAGGCTACTAGAAAATTTAAATTACCTGCGTGGCTGGCTCACACCCACAAGTGTATTTCTCTGGGACTATGCCGGTGTAGGAGATGTCTTCAACATATTAAGTCAGTGGAGTCCTCTGAAAGCTGACGAGGTTAACAGGTGGAAGAAGGTCCATGAAAGAAGGACCCAAGGATAAAAAAATTGGCACCATTCAGGGCAGGATGTGAAATTTGGCGGGTGTGTAGTCAGTAGAGAGAGGGCCTCCGTTGTGGGTGCAATTAGTCAGCGGTTTGCAAAGGCTTCCTTTGGGGAATTCCATGCTCAAAGAATTGTGAGGACTCATCCTCCAAGGTCCCCTGCACATGGGGCATAATTATTCGGAATATTCCATACAGTAAACAATACCTTTGTCACATTTGGGTATATCCATTAGTTTCTTAGAGTTTGGTTAGCTGGACTCGGTCCCTGAGCCCATTACTGAGGGTGTCTGCCATTCTGGAAACCAGACCCTGTCCCCAGGGACCAATGCAGACTCTAACTGGAAGTCACTATCCTTACAGCCTGTCTGGATCACCGGACAGTCGATCCCTGAGGGAGGACTGTGCCTCAGTTGCTGTAGAACAAATGAAAACTTTATGGCACAGGATGGATCCCCAGAATGAATCCAGACAAGTTCTCCAATGCAGGCCATGCGGCTGCCCCCTGACACAGCCCTCCTCCACCTCTGGGGAAGCAGAAACTGTCCCAAGTTCAGGCCATTTCAAACTTCCTGGAACCAATGGTTGGATGGTTTGAGGAGCAATTGCATCCTGACTCCCTACCTGAGCCCAGACTCCTCCATCCAGCTCACCCAGACTGTTAACCCCTGATATGCTCCCCCGCCCCCCCTGAGGTCATGGCTTTATCTCCCCTATGAGTGGGCTGGGGGTTAGGGTGAGGAGTCACTCACTCGAGGGTGCCAACCCCCTGGCAGAGGTGCAAGGGGTGTTTCCCATCCTGGTCAGGGATGTCGGGGTCGGCTCCTGCCACCAGCAGCGCATGGACACAGGCAGTGTGGCCTGCGGCACAGGCCTCATGCAGGGCGGTGCGGCCCCCGGGGGCACTGTCTGGCTTTGCCCGCCGCCTCAGCAGCAGCTGCACCACATCCGCGTGGCCCCGGCTGGCTGCCACGTGCAGTGGGGTGGTCAGCTCCTCTTCGTAAGTCAGAGACCAGAGTCCTGGGGAGAGAGGAGACACCGGACTCAGATCCTGGAGGGAAGCAAAGAGCTGCCAGGTAACAAGGGAGGTGGGCAGAGGGAGCCCAGAGCTCCATTCCCAGCCTCCCTTCTCCTGCTCAGACCCCCCAGTGCCCCTGGCCATACTCAGAGCACGAATGTTGAAGCGGTAATCCCTCCATCGCTCTGGGTCGCTGGTATCAAAGATGGAATCTGGTGCCAGGCCAGCGCTGGAGTCGGCGAGGATGCGGGAGACGGAGCCCACGTCCCCGGCCAGCAATGCCTGCCAGAAGGCCAGGGCAGGTCCTGAGGCCGTGCGGGTGACGATGGGTCCCGGGCCAGACTCTGGGTGTTCTGCAGACCCACTGCTGGGCTTCTCCACCAGCCTGGCACAGAGGGCACGTCTGTCACCCGGGGGCTCTTCCCACCCACTGCATTCATCTGGGGACCAGCTCATTAGGGCAGAGAGTGAGCATATGGGGAGGGGGCTCTGGAGGAGGAGAGGTTGGGGCCAGAGGCAGAGAGAGAAAAGGAAGAGAAACACAGACAGATGGAAGGAGAGGGTCTCTGTCCCTGAGCTGAGTCCGAGCTGAGCCTGACCCGGCCACGCAGTTCAACAGGAGCTATTCTGGGCTCCGCATGACTCCACTCCTGGGCCAAGGTTTAGGCAAGCCTTGGGGTGAGGGAGGAACTGCCCGGGGCTTCTTTTCCTTTAGCTCTTGCTACCTCTGCCCGATGCTGTCAGCCCAGCCCCCTGGTCCTCAGCCCCATCCCCTGCTGCCCCTCACCTCTCTGGTGGCTGCTCCATCGAGGCTCCGCAGCCCGGCTCTCCAGCAGCAGGTCGGCTGTGCTGTGCGGGGGGAACAGCTCCAGCAGCCTCGCCAGGTCTCCGGTGTACAGGGCATTCTGCAGGGCCATGTCACGGCACAGCAGCGGCGATGGCCGTGGCGGCTCCTGGTCTGGGCGGGACTGAGGATCCCAGACTCGGCAGGCAGGGGCTGAGGGGACGCACCCCCGATGGTGTCCCGAGTAGGGAGGGGAGCCCCTTCTCCCAGGCATGGCTAGTTTGTGGAAGAGAGAGCCAAAGAAGCAGGACTCAGGGCGATGCCAGCCGGCAGGCACTGGGCCTGAGCCAGGCGAGGCCCATTGTGGGAGGGGCAGGGTAGCCAAGCCAAAAATAGCTTGGACTGTCCTAGCTGTCAGTCGTGGGGAATGAGGCTTAGGCTGGCAACGGGAACTAGGAAGGAGCCTGGAGATCAAGTGAGGATGGAACCCTCCAACCCTGAGCTTCATCCCAAATGGTTCGCAGCCGGATTGAAGGGACTACCCAGATGGTGGCACCACTGCGGTTTCACAGGTAAGGGAAGTGGAGTCCAGAGGTGGGAAGTGATTGGCCCCTGGTGTGACAAGTTGTTGCAGAGCAGGGACTGGGGGCGGGGGGGGGGGGGCGCTCTCCAGCTGCCATTTCTCATCCTTTCTCACCTATCATGTGCTCCACCAAGAGGCCTCCAGCTGCTGGGGCCGAGGGAGGGCAGGTGGGTGCACATAATTTTTCCTGTTTTCCCAAATGTCACCAATTAGCCCCACACCGTCACCCTCCCAGACCTAAGGGAGGGATTCAGAGTAGGGACAATTGCAGAGAAGGCCCCCTCTATGAGTGATCTCCTCCGGGGGTTCTGACCTGGACAGACTCTACCCAGGGGAACAGGGCTCCCACCAGCAGCAATACCTCCGCGGTGCTCATCTTCCACAGCCCCCTCGTGCTGACCCCGTCTCTGTGGATGACCCCTGCATCTCCCGTCACCTCTCTACCTGCCATGGTCAGAAGGGGTCTCAGCTGGAAAGTGAAAAGAAGGAGGTGGCTCTGCCCACATTAGGATAATGAAGCGACTTTCATTTGGGGAGAGAAAATGAAAAAAGGGAGAAAGAAAACTCAAACCGTCCCCCGGGCTCAGCGGAGCCACCTCTGCCACAGGAGCTAGCCCCGGCCCCCGCAGCCTCGCCTTGCCGCGCCTGGCTCTCGTCGCCGTTACAGCCTGTGGGGTACCCTTCACCTTTATTCACACTATTTTTTTAAAAATATATTTTATTGATTTTTTACAGAGAGGAAGGGAGAGGGATAGAGAGTTAGAAACATCGATCAGCTGCCTCCTGCACACTCCCTACTGGGGATGTGCCTGCAACAACGGTACATGCCCTTGACCGGAATCGAACCTGGGACCCTTGAGTCCGCAGGCCCACGCTCTATCCACTGAGCCAAACGGGTTAGGGCATATTCACACACTCCTTACACTGCTTCTTCGGGAGAACCCCAAAGTTTCCTGACTCCAGTTCCCCCGAGCTCTTCTCTCCCCACAAGGAGGATCCAGAGATGGACTTCTGCTCACTGAGCCCCTTGGGGCCAGGCTCTGGGTCAAAGACAAAGGCAGGTGGGAGAAGGTGTCCAGAGGAAAGAGGAAGTGAAGACCACTCAGAAAAGGCACTGGATCTACCAGCAGTCACAACTACCTCCATCTCCCCACCTTTTCTCCCCCCACCCGCCACCTCCCTAATATCCCAGACACCTTGGGAGGAATATCCAACCCCAGAGTAGAAAGGAGATCGGCCAGAGGTCATCTTACTTTACAGGTGAGGACACTGAGGCCAAGTCAGAAAAGGACTGTGCAACCCACACAGGGGTCAGTGCCGAGCGGGGCTGGACCAGGCTCTGCTGACCTCCAGACTCCTGCTTTTCCTTCTTATTCTACTTACCGAGATCTGCCTTCTCTCTTTCTCTCTCTCTCTCTCTCTCTCTCTCTCTCTCTCTCTCTCTCTCTCTCTCTCTCTCTCCTTCTCTTCCCATTTTCCTCCCCTACATACCTCGAGGAAGAAAGGGAGTGGGGAGCCAGGACACAAAAATGACAGGGTGAGGTCAGAGGACAGAGATCTGGGATCAGAGAAACTCGACAGGGTGGGGTATGAGGTGGAGCCAGGGACACAGAACAAGGGGTGGAAGCACGGAGATGGACAAAGAGAGCTGGTCCCCAAGCCATCTGGGAGTTTATGCCTCTGCCCCCAGGCCCTTTGCCCCAGTCCCACCGCCCCTCTCGGGCACTCCTCAGCAGTCACTTCCGTTTTTTCTTCTCCTTTGCCAGCCTGGCCTCCTCAGCCTCCAGGTCCTTGTTAAATTCTATCTTCTTCATGCCCAGTGGGGTCTTGAAGTACCAGTCCTGGGTCAGAGGAGGGGGAGAAGGAGGAAGAGGAGGAGGAGGAGGAGGAGGAGGAGGAGGAGGAGGAGGAGGAGGAGGAGGAGGAGGAGGGTGAGGGTAAGTGCATTGCACCCGGCCCTCGGTCCTGCCTCCTGACCTCATCCCTCTGCCACTCGGGGAGCACCGATCGGATGGCTTGGAGAATGTGACCAGGTGTGTAGCCATCGGACACCTTGGCCAGGACACTGATGTCCAGGTGACCCACCTGGACTCTCTGGGTGTGCAGCATGTGTTTCCAGAGCTGTGTCTGCAGTAGCTTTTTCTCCTCCCCCAGAGCCCCCCATCCCTCTGCCCGGCATCCTGCTAGAGCCGTGGTTTCTTTTAGTTCCACCAGATGCTTCAGGCCATAGTGTCAGACCCTGTGGCCCTCTCTCCTGTGCTCCCATAGCCACCTCACCACCCTGGGGGGTGCCACCGACTCAGACGTAGGGAAGTAAGGGGCAGCTGGTGCCAGAAATGACGAAGGGATCCTAAGACACAGGTGGCACTTTCAGGCTCCCACTCTCGAGGAAACCAGGTGAGCCAGGCCTGCCCACAAGTCCTTCCCTGTGACTTCTAGTTCCCTCACAGGCTGAACTCCATGGGGCAGCAGAGAGAGGAGCCCGAGGCGTGCTGCACGCCTGGGGTTTAGAGGGCGGCCTCGCTTTGGTGCTAGCCCACAATCCTCCCCCCTGGCTGCCCCCCTACCCACCAAGCCTCACCTTTAGGGATGCCTCCTCCTCCCTGTACACTGGCTCCAGCTTCGCCAGATGAGATAGGAACTCTGAGGCCAGCAGGGGCCGCCTGGACAATTGGAGGAGCCGCCGCTCCGTGAGCACCAGTCGGATGGCTTGGAGAATGTGACCAGGTGTGTAGCCATCGGACACCCTGGCCAGGGCACTGATGTCCAGGTGGGTCTGGGTCACCTGGATTCTCTCCATGTGCAGCATGTGCTTCCAGAGCACTGCGGGCGTGGGGGAGGAAACGGGGCGAGAGGCAGTGAGCCTCTCCTCCCAGGACGGTGGGGATCATCCCCACTCAACACAGGAAAATGAGACGGCAGGACTTAAGCAGCCGGCCCTTGTCCACAGAACCGGGCCAGGACCCAGGCCACTGGGCTGCTTGTATCGCAGCTGGCCCTTCCAGAGCACTTGGCTGTGAAGGTGCTGCTCAGAGCAATAGTGGGGGATGGGAATAAGAGTGGGGAGCTTTGGCAGGAACCCCTTCTCTGGCCTGTTCCCACATTCCCAGGCCTCACCATAGCGAGAAGCATAATCAGGCCGCGGCATGAAGAGAATCCGTTCGTAGGTCCGGCGCAGCCCCTTCATCTCGGCGAGCTGCGGTTGGTTAGTGGTCCCTATCAGCATGACGCGGTCTCCGGGATTCAGCAGGCGCAGGGCCTTGGTGAGGTCCTTCTTTATTCGCTTTGGGTCCATCTGCTCGGGGGAGAAAGGGTGGGGGTCGGGACACGGTGACTCATTATATGGGCTCCCAAGTACTCAGGGCACCTGTCCACACGCACAGGGACCCTGAGAGGCAGACCGGAGCAGCTGTCAGTCCTGCTTTAAGGAGAAGGAAATAAGGTAGGAGGAGGACAGGGGACTTGTCCAAGGTCACGCCATGGGTGTCACTTGGAGTGGCTTCCCAGGGGCTCCAGCTGCCTGCCCGTGCTGCCTTACCTCCTTTTCCTCTTTTGGGACCTTCTTATAGAAATTCTTCTCGGCATTTCCAATCCAGATCACTGAGGGCTGTAGGAGTCGAGCCACCTGGACAGGTCAGAGAATAGAAACCTGACAATAGCCATTCCTGGGCAAGGCTCACCTCCCCATCCAGCCCATCCCAGGGTCAGGGCTGGCCTAGGGCAATGGTGGCCAGGTTCCACTTCCCACATACTGTCGACCCTGCCTGCCAGCTCATTGCACATCCATCACCCTTCAGTGTGAGCAGAGTCCTTGCCCTCCCTGGAGATTGGAGGTGGCTACATCCTACGCCTCATCTCTCCTCCCCACTTCGCCCCACCTCCCCCATTATGGGGCTTCAGGTGTCCACAATCTCCCATCAGTGCTTGGTGAGACCTCACCAGCTCCCGAACTCACACCAACTAGGCAGATGGGTAGCCTCCTGAGCACAGAGCCCACCCTCTTCTGTTGTCACAGCCTGAGAACTAGAAATGCCGAACCTTAAAGACAATGTGCACTAGCATCTGCACCCCGGCCTTGCCAGGGTATTTGCCCTGCAGGTTGGCAGGTGACAGGTCGAACAGGTTGGCACCAGTTTCTGTGCACACGGCATTGACCAGCATCTTCTTCCCCACACCGGAGGGGCCCACCAGGAGGATGGAGCGGATGAGGGGAGCCATGGAGTGTATATCAGGGGAGCCTGAGAGAGAAAACAGAAGCCAGAGACAGACAGTGGGCCGTCAGGGACCCTGATGGGGCATGGTGTGAGGCGAGGTCCAAGGCCGGGGGCTGAGTGGGATGAGGTTCACATCTTGGCTGCACTGCCTCCTCCCATGGCCTGAGCAGTCTCCCAGGCAAACATACCAGAAGCGGCAGCTTACAAGCCCCCCAATGGCTCAGGAATCACAATGACGACAGGTGGGTGTCAGGAGGGAGCCCCCTGCCCCATCCAATGTCCTTTCTGTTTCCCATGCCATCTGTTTCCACCCCTGCATTAAGAAGGGGTCCAACTAAAAGGTATGGGATATCAACCTCTTTAGAAAGACACCAATCTTCTAGAAATGGGGCAGACTATGGGATGCCACTTGGAATTGAGTAAGAGGCTAGAAGTGTGGTCTCCTCAGCAGGTCAAGAGCCCACATGACTTCTGGGGTGGCCCAGGCTGGAGGAACCCACTGTAGGTCCCCGGCCCGGGGCATTGGAGGCTGTGACTGGACATGCCTGCCTCAACCACCCTCCTTCCCTCCCCAAGGCTTCCCTCCACTAGGGCCTCTCACCAAGCCGAAGGACCCCGTACAAGGCCATGTTCTGTCGAACGTCAAACAGGGAAGGCATGGGCAACTTGTGGGCCAGACTCAGAGTGGATCCAAGATAGAGGTAGTCACCTGGGGGACAGGTGGCCACCTGGTGAGTGGCATCTACTTGGGCAGGGCCAAGAGAGAAAGCCACTGGAGGAGAAGGTTCACTTCAGAGGGTGGTAGTTGGCCACCAGGAAGGCCATGGCCTGGGAGCCTTGGGCACCATTCCTTAGCCTGGGAGCAGGTGCGGGGAAGGGGTCTCACCAACGAAGTCCTTCAATAACACTGCCTTGCACTTCTTTAGAAGGCCAAAGACAACAAGCTCTTCAAACAGAGAGGCCAGGGACCTGGCAGAGGATGGCACAGGGCCTCCCCCCGAGAAGGAAGGGACATGGAGAAAGAGATGAGTGAGGTGTTGTCACAGGCATGAGGAGAGAGGCTAAGAGGCCCTTCTGCCCCACCTCCTGTGGTCAACATCAGGGTTTGGGCAGCCAGTGTCAGAAGGTGGGGCACCAACCCGCAGGCCCAGAAGGCAGCCTGCCCATACACAGCAGTGCTCTGTGGGTTGGGGTGTGTAAGAAGGACCAGCATCCTGTAACTCTCCCTCCACCAGTCTGCTCATGGCCCAAAGTTCCACCAACAGAACCCAGTCGACCTCTCTTCCTAGAAACCACATTTAAGGTGAACATGGTCTGGGAGGGGTGATCATCAAAGCAGCTAATGTCATTGTGCTCATGACTCACTTCAAGAGAGAAGTGAGTAGAAAGGGACAGCTGACTTCAAGGCCCCAGAGTGGGAAGTCCATGGGGAGATGGCTTTGTAGGGACAGAGCTGATGAAGGCCAAGGCTAGAGGGAACGTTGATAACAATACGCCACTCATATCTTATTCTATGAGACTGACGCGCTGCCTGCTGCGCTAAGAGGGCACCCCATATCTTATTCTATATCATCATTTCAAATCACTTTCTTATGCTTCTGTTTGATCCTCACAGCTATCTTTTGGGTTTGGCAGGAGAAGTGCTTGGTTAATAGGGAGTCAGAGAGGTTAAATGACTTTCCCGAGGTCACACAGCAATAGAACCAGGGCCAGCAGTTGGATCTATGGAGGGTCTGCTACCTGTTCGGGGTCAGATCTTTTTCCTTCTTCTTCTTCTTCCCAGCTTTCTTTTTCACATTTTTTTTCTGGATAGAAACAAGCACATAGGAAATTGTCCTGTGTTCCTTGCCTCCCCTGTTGTGCTCTCCCTCTCCTGTCCCAGCCAGGCCTCTCATCTTGCCTTTGGAGCCTTGAAGGGTCTCTCCTCCTCCCGGTCCACAGCCAGGCGCAGGTTCTTCAGCTCTTGACGCATCAGCTCATCCACCTGCAGAGACAGAAGAGTGTGTGGAGGGGCGACCAGGGGCGGGGAGGACAGGCAGGAGAGGTAGGGATGGAGGCAGGGGTGGAGAGGAAGACAGCAGCCTCAGAGCAGAGCCAGACAAGCACAGTGAAGGTAGCAGTGGCCAATAACCTTCCCATGTCTTCTTTCAGAACCCTTGGCCTTGGCATTTGTCCCTATCCCTGCACCTGTCCACCCTCAATCCTAATCCATATTCTGCTCACGCATGAACCCTGCTCTCAACTGGCTATCAATGTGGAGAGAAGCCCGGGGATGGAGTGGGTCAGCTTTCAGCTGCAGCCCTAGACCCACCCTGTAGGCTCTGTGTGAACGTGAGGAGTTGTATGACCGCTCAGCCTCAGTGTTTTTATAAGTAGCATCAGGAAAGTCATGGTGCTTACCTCAGGCGCCATTGTGATCATGTGATCTAACACTCCCAAAGACACATCGTAAGAGCTCTTTAAGCGTTGGTGAAGATGATGGTGGGTGTGACCCCAGCACAGAGCCCCCCATTCCCTCACCTCTGGGCTGCAGGGAAGCGAGAGGGACCCGGAGAGGCAGAGGACAGTGGGACCAGGATGGACTGAAATGGCCTATACAGGGAAGGCAGTGGCTAGAGGAAGCTATAAAGGATGAGCAAGCTGTGGGTATGAGCAGAGGGAAGACAGAGGGACAGAGCCCGAAGCAGCTGAAGGCTGTGGTGGGAAGAGGGGGCCTGCAAAGAGGCCCGGAGCCAGAATGGCCACCTGTTTCCGGATCTCCTGCTCCAGTTCCTTCCTCTTCTCCGCCCGGAGGGCCTTGGGGTCAAAACTCTGATCAGGGTATAGGTGATCAGGCCGGTTCTTCCACACATCTGAGCATGGGGAGATGGGCGGAGTGGAGGGCAGAGTCCCAGGTGTACTCACATACACAATCACACACACTCACACACGTGCTCACATGGGCCAGGAACCTGTTCCAGGCTGGTCTACTTCTCTCTCGCTCTGTCTCTCTGTCTCTCACACACATGCACACATGAGCCAAGAACCTGACCCAGGCTGGCCCCCTGTCCTCACCCAGCTACCTGGCACTGCTTCTACCACATCATAGACCAGTGATGGTGAACCTTTTGAGCTCGGCTTGTCAGCATTTTGAAAAACCCTAACTTAACTCTGGTGCCGTGTCACATATAGAAATTTTTTGATATTTGCAACCATAGTAAAATAAAGATTTATATTTTTGATATTTATTTTATGTATTTAAATGCCATTTAACAAAGAAAAATCAGCCAAAAGAATGAGTTCGCATGTCACCTCTGACACGTGTGTCATAGGTTCGCCATCACTGTCATAGACAGAGGCCTGATCCCAAGGCCTATGACTGCAGGATTCAGGCCCAAACCCATAATGACCTCACACCCTCTCCCTTTGGTGTTAGCCCCTTGGCCCCCACGCCCATCCTGCCACCTGATGACCCACGTGGCACATGTCCACTTTCCCCAGGACCAAGAGTCACTCTAAGGTCCCACATGTCCTGGGCAGCTTCCAGCCTTCTCTCCCCTTACTTTTATACTCCTCGTGTCCGGCATTGATCAGGGGGATAAATTTGGATGGCAATGCTTTCAGCATTGCATCTGCTTCCTAGAATAGAAACACCATGTGACCTTGACCCCGCCTTCACCCTTCACAAACTCTGATCCTAATAATGCTCACCAGACCAGCTTTTTGACCAGAAATCCCCTCAGACTTTGTTCCCCCGCCCTATTATTTCACACGTTCGGGAGCTGCCTTACACCCTTCTTGGTCTTGTCTTCCTTTGCTTTCTTCTTCTCCTTTTCTTTTTCTTTATTTTTGTCTTCTTTTTTAGTGCTCTCCTGGACCGGATTCTCCAGTTCCATTTTCACCTGTGACCAAGGATAAACGATGCTTCAGAGAAGACCAAGGGCATTTTATAGGAGCAAGAGAACCCAGGCCTGTGGCTGGGGTGGGCTCAGGGTCCCAAGGCCTAGGGGAACTGGTGGGGCCCTGAGACGTATCTGGGATCCAGGAAGAGGGGCATCAGGTGATGAAGTGTTCTGACCAGAGCAGTTGCTCTCTCCTGGCCTGTGGATTACTAGAGCTACAATAGTCTCACCAGACATTTCCTCTCCCTGGACAAGGATGCCTTCTCAGATGCAGGTACCCCATCCCCCCAAGCAGTCTTCCTAACTACATATATTTCCTCTAGCCACCTCTGCCTCCATTGAGACTGACCTCGCCCGGCACCCCACTGCCACCCTCAGTTTACACTCAGTACTCTCTGTAACCTCAGACTCCATCGGCCACAGAAAATCTGCCCCACCTCCAGGGTACCTGTTCTGGAGTCTTGTCTGAGAAGATCTGGTTGGATCCACCTAAAGACTCGTCTGGATAATTAGGGAATCGGCCAGTAAGGGCACTAAGTGAACATAAGGTGGTCAGAGAGATGGACAAGTGGGTGGACATATGGACGAATGGATGGGCAGGTGGAAGGGTGGGTAGAGGGTGGGTCTATGGATGAATAGATGCATAGAGAGAAGGATGGGGAAGGATAAAGGGCCAGAGAGGATGAGGGACAGAGGGAAGGAATAGTTACAGAATAGAAAGGACAGATCACTCAGGGGACATTCCTGGATGCTTTCCCCATCTTATTCTGGCATTTTCTCTTCTATTCGGGGAAATAGCAAGTCATGGTGGAGAGAGTCCTGTAGTGGAGATGGTCCCACGTTTAAGCCAATGCATTAGCAGAGTGCTGGTGGGACAGGGTGAATGGAGAAGAGAGCCCAGGCTAGAGCAGAGGACAAGACAGGTGTGGGGACATGGGTGAGGAGGGAAAGGGGTTGAGTCAGCCGAGGCTGGGGACACTGACTGGCACTCGATAAACCACTGTCGGATTTGCTCCTTCATTTTCTCCTTGATATCGGGCCCCTCGGTCTCTCTGAGGGCATCGTGGGTCTTCGAAATGGCCATCTGGAACTCCTCCTCTTTCTCTATCTGGCGGGACCTCCTGACATCCTTCCTGAGGTTGGCTACGGACGCGTGCTCCACTGCGTCAGGCAAGGGGATCTGGGGACATGAGGAGGGGGCCAAGGGACTCAGGAGTGGGAGTGGGGAGGACCCGGCCTTAGGCTCGCACACCTGCCCCCACGCATTCCCTGCACGTGCCTCGCATGCACACCCACACGGAACATCGGGCATGCCTGCATCAGGAGAAATTGTTTGGTGCTGAAACTCCTCTGTGTAAATTACTCTGATAATGAGTTTGCTAGATGCATCCGGGCAGGCCCCCCTGCCCGATCCCCCAGCACACCCTCCCCTGTGAGCCTCAGTGCCCCCCCCACCCCCGCCTGCACCCCCGCCCAGCGCCCGCCTTGGCAGCCTCACTTGCAGCCACTTTCCCGCCTCATTGGTTCCCAAATGTATTTTAAATATCACTGTGCGCAGAGACAATTACTGAAAACGCTGAGCTCACACTGCTGATGGGCCGGGCAGCAGGCTCATTCCTCCCCCCCCCCCGCTGTGCCAAAGCCCCCTGCCCCTCCCCACCAAAGCCTCACCTCGGGCCTCCTGGGGGTCCAGATCGTCAGCCCCCCAAGTCTCTGACCTCCACTCCCATGAAGCAGACCCTGGCCCCTCTCTCCTGAAGTCCCCAAGCCTCTTAAAGTAGCCATCCCAGCTCTGTCTCTAATCTCTCTGCCCCGCCCCCATATCAGCCAGCCTCCATGGGCTCTGCCCACTGCAAAGCCCCTGCCAGGGATCATGTCTCTTGCCCCTGTCACCCTAAGTCAGCGGAGACCAGCTAGATGAAGGAAGCATCAGAGAGCAGAGGACAGACAGATTCAGAGAGTGAGGCCTGTGCACACTCTTACCAATGTGCACAGGCCCCACTTACCACCCACACTCCCCTCTTACCACCCACACTCCCCCATGTGCACTCTCACGCTTGCCTCATGTTGTTCACACTTAGCCCTGCTCCCTGCATGCAGAGGAGAAGCAATTCTGGGGCCCAGAGCAAGTGGGGAGCCCATAGCCCCCAAAAAAACACTGTGTGAGGGGGTGTGCCCCATCCCAACTGGGCCCCTGTGACCTCTTTCTGCTGGGCCCACACATGCAGCCCCTCCTCCAGCCAGGGGCACAGACACGGGGTCCAGGATACTTGGTGCTACTATCCCTCATCCCACACCCATATTTGAGATTCTTCTAAGGGCTCTAGTTCAGGGAGGGTGGGAAGGGATGTGTTGGCTGTGGCTTTCCTGTCCTTTCTCAGCCAAGTCCTGAAGGACCCTCGGGCCCCCTGGCATTGACCTTCTCCCCTTCATCGTGCCCACCACAGTCCTGAGTGGTGGGTGGTGTGGGCAGTGATGGTTGTCAGGGCTGTGCTCTGGGGCTGGGACACAGAAGGACATCCCATACACTGGCAGCCCTGTGCCCCTGCCTGTGCCCAGAGGACTCACCATGCCAATGAATTCCATCTCTGTTTGCCGGTCATACTGAGTGTGTTTCCTCTGTAGGTAGCCTTTCCACACCTGGGGGAACACAGGCCCAGACACTCCGCACACTGCACTTCTTCTAGGATGTGGCTCTTGGGCTTAGCAGCTGCCCTGGAGGTCTGGATGGCGAAGGTTTGGGTGGGAGGTGGGGGAGGAGCTGGGGAGGCACCTGGGGAGGTGCAGCTCATGGACAATTGCCACCTGAGCAGGGACAGTGTGAAACAGGGTGGGGCAGGGATGCACCCAAGCTGTCCAGCACCTAGGCATTGCTTCCTCAGGGCCTCCCCGGCAGTCCCTCCTCATCTGCTGTAACTTTTGAGGCACAGATCAGAGTTCAAGTACTGCCATCTTCAAAAAGCACTGACCACACTCATGTCTCAGAATTCCCATAGCATTTGGAATAAATACTCGATTATTTCACCCAGGCACACAAACATCAGTTCCGTAGGGACTATGGAGCTCCCCTAAACAATTCCTGCATTTCTGACATAAGGAAACTGAGGCTGGAGACAGGACAAGATCTCTCCCAGGCCCGGAGCCTGTCAATGCAGAGCTGAGACTGGGGCCAGGTTTCCTGTCTCCTCGCCCAATGTTCTCCCAGGCCACCAGCCCCTCTCAGACCTGCGGACAACCCAGTGCCAGAGGGTAGAAGGAGGTGCACTGGGCAGAGGGAGGCGGGGCCGGCGCCTGTCTGGGCTCCTGGGACTAGCAGTGGAAAAGCCCACGATAATGGCTTTTGATTAGTATTTGTACTTGAGAACTTGAAGACTGGGATGTAGAATTCCCACACCCTTGATGTCTGGCAACAGGGACAAAATGACTTGCTTTGGTCTTGGGGGGAAGTGGGGCTCTGTCTTTGGGGTCAACCCCCCTCTCAAAATGCTGCTTTATTGACCCTGAAGGTGAGGACCTCCTCCTCCATGGGGTAGCTGGACACTGGGTCGGTCACCAGATGCAGGGGCTCTGGTTGGAACACTCTGCCTACTGATCAATAATCAAAATCTATCCCAGCCGGGGGTTGCGGGGGGAGGGTCAGTGGTTGAACGTCAACCTATGAACCAGGAGGTCACAGTTCTATTCCCAATCAGGGCACATGCCCAGGCTGCAGGCTCAATCTCCAGTATGGGACGTGCAGGAGGCAGCCGATAAATGATTCTCTTTCATCATTGATGTTTCTATCTCTCTCTTTCTCTCCCTTCTCTGAAGTGAATAAAAATTTGATTTTTTTTTTTAAATAATCAAAATCTGCCCACTTGGAGAGGCTCTCTGTCCTCAGGGGTGATGTTTGTCAGTAGGTTGGTTTACTTTTGGGTTTTGGTAGAAAGTGGCTCTAAGTTTCCTCTCTTGGGCCAGCAGACAGGAGGTTTGGAGGCATTGGGACTTGAGGGAGAAGGAGAGGAAAACCTAGCCCACGCCAGCCATTCTGGGCCCGCTTTGGAAAGAAAAGGTGGCAAGTGACTTCCTGTGACCAGGTGACAGCTGCAGGAGCAAAATGGCCCTTTTCTGCACTGAAATTTTCCCAGGGCCCCTCCAGGATCATCAAGCTGGTAACCACTATTGCCCAGCCTTGTGGTGGCCAATGATAGAGGCCAGGCCCACACACTGGGGGCACAGCAGGAGCTGGGAGGTGTAGAATGGCCACCAGAACAGTGAGAAGGATGGGGAAACCTGGGGACACAGCCGGATGCTCTGCGGTGAGCAGGATGGGGTGTGATTGTGTTATTTCCATGTTAAAACTGAGGGTGACTCCAGGTGGCACAGACCTTGAGGACGCCTGGATCACATCAGTTCTCTTCATTATATTTCCTTTTGCCTCAGCTGCCAGGAGGGTCAGGGTATATTTTAGTGACATTTTTAACAGTCTTAAGAATTTCTAAAATGATTACCTACTCTGTCCTGCTACCTTATTATGGATCATTCTCCCCTAATTTTAATGAATCATCTGTTTCTAGGACTTTTATGGTATCCTACTTCAAGTTCTTTTTGGGGATAAGATGTAGAATAAATAAACAAATAAGATGCATGATTATTAATTATCAAGGTCCCTAGTTTAGAGTCTAGTTATGTGGCCACAGAACCCAAGCACCTGCACCTCTATCATCAATTGCTAAGCTAGGGAGGCTTCCTGGAAGAGGTGACTACCTTGCCTTTCTTCCTGGACACTGGGGGGTTACCTTCTGAATGGTGATAGCTGCTTGGTTCGGATTTAACTTGTGCCACCCGCTCTCCCTCATCTTCCGATCCCGCTCCTCCTCTCTTCGAATCTCTCGAATGAAGGTGGCTCGGAGTCTGCCTTGTCTGGCCCGCTCGGCCGTTTGCAGCAGGATTATGGCCTCAGTCCGGCTCATTACTGGTTCGACCTGGCCAGATTAGAGCAAAGGAGCAGAAGATGAGGGAGGGCTCGTATCCAGGCGGGCAGTCGGGGAATTAGACACTGAAGGACATGCTGGGGGCATGGGCCCCCCAGGACATCTAGGTGCCCAAGTCCTGATCCTCTCTGTTGGTGTTGGAAGGTTACAAGGACACAGGAGCAGCCTTGAAGGACACTAGGGATTATCCGAAGAGCACTCTCAGGTGGGAGTAGGGCAGGGCAGGGCCTCCCTGGGTCCTGAAGGGGGGCATCCCTAATCCCGGAGCAGGGCTATGGGAGGAGTAGGGGAGAGAGTCCCCTGGACTTGCCTCCTGGAAGGCCACTGGCTCCATTCTGGATAGGATTTCTGCCAGCATCAGCTCTCGCTCCTGCAGAATGCTGGACTGCTCCAGCAGGAAGTATTTGGGGATTGGAACCTCCAGGTCAGCCTTTGGGGCAATAGGGGGGACGGAAGGTCAGGAATCAGAAGGTAGGCCATTTGGCCAGTCCATTACTATTTCCAGCTACTCACAGAGATCCTGTTTTCCTCCATGCTAGATCCCTGGAGTTGGGAATTTATGGGCAACTGGAAAATCCACTCACAGTCATCACTTTCTCCCCTGCCTGGACCCTGTGACCAGAGTTGAATTCTGGAGGATCATGGTAGCTAATGGGCAGTGGTTCCAAACCTGACTGTGCACCGGAATCAACTGGGAAGCCTTTAAAATGCAGACTCCCAGGCCCTCCCCAGACCACCACTCAGAATTGCACGGCCTGGAGAATCTGTTTTTTTCAAACCAACAGCTGAGCCTGATGCAGCAGGTCAGGAAGCCGAGGCTGCCCTGGATGGGAGCAGTGAACCATGGCCTTGGAGCTTCATGCTCTGGAACCTGCTGGTACATCCAGATCACCTGAGGATCTTGTTAAAATGCAAGTACAGATGAGTAGGCTTGGGGTGAGGCCTCCAGAGTCTGCATTTCTAACGAGCTGCTAGTGGTACAGACGCTGCTGGTCCATGGACTACACTTTGAGGAGCAAGCATCTGGAGGACTCTTCACTGATCCCTCCTGGGACATGAATCTTCCCATCCACGCGAGACCTCCAGCCTGACTCTCTAGCTACACCCCCCCCAGCCACTTGCATGCACCTCCACCCCCACTCCAGTTTCTGAAGGCCTTCTCCCCGATCCTTGATCCACCTGCTTGACCTCCCTCCCTTCCTTGCAGAGGCCCCAGAGGTGTCTGAAGGTTAAGACCAGCCCCACCCCCACCCCCACCCTCCACTGGTGTGGGTGTGGCACCACGCTGTCCTCGCACCGGGGTGAGCCCGAGGTCCCGCAGCACGTGGTCCAGGCAGTGCCACTCGCACATGTCTACCCGCACCATCTCATCCTTGAGCTCCAGCACGCGGCCCGCCACGCTGTCCAGCAGGCGCCGCAGCAGCCGCCGCTTCTGCGGCTGCACCATCTGGTCATAGAGAATGTCGAACCCGCGCAGCAGCCCCAGGTAGTACAGGTAGAGCGATGAGAGCCTGTACTGGAAGGACTGCCACTCCCGGGTGGGCACGGGTTGGAGCATGGGCTGCTCTTGGTCCAGTAGCTCTTGCAAGGTCACGTGGGAAGAGTCCCAGAGGCGCTGGTAAGATCTGGAGAGGAGGCAGTGTGCACTGGAGTGTTCTGAGCATCAGGGGCTTGGGGACGGGGGCTGCAGGGGAGCTGCTGAGCCTTTCGAGGAGTGTGAACTCAGGTTCCACAAGGTGTGACGCTAGGGTTACTCACAGTGAGCTCAGTGAAGTGAGGGTCCTCAGGGGCAGGAGATGGCAGCCACAGTGAGCTCACTGGGGCTTAGCAGTGTGAGATTGGGGTCACTAGAGGAATGGAGAATGGCCATGGCTCTTAGGGGCTCCCTATAAGGAAGAGGCCTTTTGGAGTTGGCAGCAGTTGGTCCGTCCGTGGTGAGGGTGCAGCCCAGGGATGCTGCAGTGGTCTAGGATGGTGGGTGGGAAGTGGGGTGAGGGATGAGTGTAGAGGATGGTCCTTTTCCCAGAGAAGAGCCCTGGCTCTGGATTTAATAGTCCAAGAGACATCTGAAGAGCAAAAGCTGACCACAGACTGGAGCAACTGGGGCTGCTGAGTGAGAATCAGGGACCCTGGCCCAGCATGACCCGCCCCCTCCCCCCCCAGTCCTTCTCCCTGTCCAGCAGCCCCAGCCTGATGGGACCTTGAGTAGGAGGCAGCTTGCTCTTTGCTCTCCCAGCCCTGGGGGCTCCATTCCAGCCCCAACTTACCCCTCCGACATGGTGCTCACTCCTCACGCTACCCTTGGTGAGCTGGTCGTGGAATCCACAGAAGCCCTGTGGTTCCACTCTGACTGCACCCCCAGAGCAGCCCAGTTTTAAGGGTTCTGTCCCATTGTCTCCATGTTCTAAGGTTGGGAGGGGAGGGGCTGTGGGTGCACAATTGGGGACACATCACAGAGGACATTCTGGAGGCAGCACTCTGAGGGGAGTCAGGCTCCTTTGCAGCAAGCCTTGGAAAGCTAGGGCAGAGTGTGGGCTCTGCTGTGGCTACTTCTCTTGTGAGGATCAAATAAAAGAATGGTCCCTGTTTGAAATCACCCTGTAACTTCAAGACTCTGGTGAATATTAGTCCTGAAGGCATTACTCCAGCTGGGGGAGCCCTGTACCCCTTAATGCAGATCCAGCTCGTTCACTCCGCTGTGCGACTGTCCCGGGGGTTCAGGAGACCATTCTTTAGAAAAGACAAAGCATTACCTCCTGACTCTGGTCAGCTGGTGGTTGTCTTTTAGGCTCCATATTAAGTAGGGACTTAAAATTAAATACATACATAAGGCACAGGGCAAAGGAAGGGGGAGAAGGGAGGAGCAGAGAGATGAGTTCTCAGGCATTAGTACTTGAGGATCTTGTCAAAATGCAGGTTCCAATTCCACAGTTTGAGGTAGGCCTGAGAGTCTGTATTCCTGACAAGCGCAGACATGGCCAGTCTCTGAATGGCACCTGGAGTAGCAAGGTAGGAGCCGGGAAAAGCTGAGGCTCAGGGGTCAGATCTGTGCCCGCCAGCTTCTAGCTGTGAAACCCAAGCGTGGATAATTAGTTCTCACCTCAGGGCACCTCCATGTGAGTCTCTTCATATGAGAAAATGTGTGTGCAGGCAGCCACTGTCACAGAGAGCCTTCTCAGCACATGGAGTGGAAGGCGATGGGCTGGGTCTAGCCAGTCACAAAGAGAACAGAGCGGATTTTGGACTTAGTCACTGACTCCCTCCACTCCACCTCTCTGAGCTTGGGACAGCATTTATGGGTCACATGCTCACAAGCTGGAGCAAAGGCTGAATAAGAGAGGAGAGATACATGGGGTCAGATGTTAAGTGGTGGACTTGAGTGAGGGACACACAAATGGCCATTGTATTCTCTTGCAACTTTTTGTGGGTGCCTGAGTTTGAGATTTTTTGAAATAAAATTGGGGAAGAAAAGTTAGTCTCAAAATCCTTCCCACCAATTTGTTCTGAAATGAAGGGGAAGAAAATGTTAGGGGAGAATGAAAACATCTTACAGATCCCAGCAGGCTGTTTGCAAGCTGGTTCAGGCCTTCTGTTTTGTATCTTAAAGAATATATCTAGCCTGGCCGGTGTGGCTCAGTGGTTGAATGTCACAGTTTGATTCCCAGTCAGGGCACATGCCCGGGTTGTGGGCTCCATCCCCAGTAAGGAGCATGCAGGAGGCAGCTAATCAATGATTCTCATCATTGATGTTTCTATCTCTCTCCTCTCTTCCTCTCTGAAATCAATAATATATATATATATATATATATATATATATATATATATATATATATATATTAAAAAGAATACATCTATGTAGACCCCTATATCCAGCATAGGACAAAAATGGCAGTTTGCTGGAAATGGCATCATAAAACATAGTCTGAAGGAGTAACACAGGGGAGATTAAAAATGGCGGCAGAGCCCTGACTGGTTTGGCTCAGTGGATAGAGCGTCGGCCTGTGGACTCAAGGGTCCCAAGTTCGATTCCCATCAAGGGCATGTACCTTGGTGCAGGCACATCCCCAGTGGGGTGTGTGCAGGAGGCAGCTGATTGATGTTTCTCTCTCACTGATGTTTCTAGCTCTCTGTCCTTCTCTCTTCTCCGTAAAAATTAAAAAAAAAAAAAATGGCGGCAGAGTAGGAGGATGCTGCATGGACATGCTCCCAGGAACAAGCTGAAATTACAACTGAAATACGGAAAGGCTTCCTGAATAATCAACGGAAAACTCACAGGAGAGAACCCTGATAACCAAGGACTGAAGGTGGAGACCGCATAGAGCAGTGGTTCTCAACCTTCCTAATGCCGAGACCCTTTAATACAGTTCCTCATGTTGTGGTGACCCCCAATTTCATTGTTACAAATTGAACATAATTAAAGCGTAGTGATCAATCACAAAAACAATATGTAATTATATATGTGTTTTCCAATGGTCTTAGGCGACCCCTGTGAAAGGGTTGTTCGACCCCCAAAGGGGTTGTGACCCAAAGGTTGAGAACTGCTGGCATAGAGACTGGTAGGAGGGGTGGAGGCATGAAAGGGCTGGCCAGGCACCCACAGATGTCAACTGAAGTCCCGAAGAGATATCTCAGCTGGGGAGTGGGGAGTAGGGGGGCTGCCACTGAGAACTCTGGGATCTAATCCCGAAGCTGGGCTCCCCGTTAGATAGCACCAAGCTGAAGAGGGTACCCACATAACATCTAGCTAAGAAAAGCCGTGGGGTGCTGTCTGCCAGGGAGTGGCAGCTGAAAGTTTGAGCACCCTCTTAAAGGGCCAACACACAAAAATTCCCTGTGGAGCCACCCACCTTGTGCTCAGGCAGAGGGAAGGCGAAGTGGACTGGAGCTGTGAGAGCAGACCCCAGGACTGGGGACTTGGGGGATAGCGCTCAGAAGGCAGACACCCCAAGTTTCCTGTGCTGAGTCATTCCCTCACACAGCAGAGGACATCTTTCCCACACAGACATTTGTGTTGCCTGAGGTGGGGGAAGACAGTTGACACACCCTAGTAGAAAACACCTTGCCCTGAGGCCACTTAAGAGATTAAAAGTAGCAATTAGCCTCCAGGCAGAAGTAACTGCCCCACCCTGTTGAAAAAAAAAACAACTCTCGCCACACCTGAGGATGGTTGCCTGCAGGCAATTTAAGTTATTAGTCTGTAGACAGAGGCAGTCTCTGGAGACTTTGAGTCTTTGCCTAATCCAATTAGTCAGAAACAGCCTTTAACACTGTCCTGCAGTAGAAATTCAGAGGTGTAGAGGACCTACCTAATACATAGTCACAAACCCAAACAGACAACCAAAATGAGGAACCAAAGAAACAACCACCAAATGAAAGAACTAGCAAATTCTCCAGAAGAGATAAATGAAGCAGAATAAGAAATTTATCTGGCCGAAACCGGTTTGGCTCAGTGGATAGAGCGTCGGCCTGCAGACTGAAGGGTCCCAGGTTTGATTCCGGTCAAGGGCATGTACCTGGGTTGCGGGCACATCCCCGGTGGGGGATGTGCAGGAGGCGGCTGATCGATGTTTCTCTCTCATCGATGTTTCTGACTCTCTGTCTCTCTCCCTTCCTCTCTGTAAAAAATCAATAAAAATATGTTTAAAAAAAATTTATCTGAAACAGAGTTCAGAGTAATGATGTTAAAAATGCTTAATAGTATGAAAAAAGATATAGTAATTATGAAAAAAGAGTCGTCTGAGGTAAAGAATGGCATAACACAAATAAAGAACACATTGGAAGGAATACACAGCAGATTAGGGGAAGCTGAGGATCAAATCAGTGAATTAGAAGACAGAGTTGAAAATATCACTCAATTAGAGAACCAAAAAGAAAAAAACAATTAAAAAACAGGAGGACAGCTTAAGGGACCTATGGGACAATGTGAAACGTAACAATATTAGAATGATAGGTGTGCCAGAAGAGGCAGAAAGGGAGAAAGGCATAGAGAAGGTGTTTGAAGAAATAATGGTAGAAAACTTCACTAACCTGGTAAAAGAAAAAGTCACACAAGTTCAGGAGGCACAGAAAACCCCAAATAAGAACCCAAACAGACCTACATCCAGACACATCATAATTAAAATGCCAAAAATTAAAGACAAAGAGAGAATCTTAAAGGCAGCAAGAGAAAAGAAAACTGTTACCTACAAAGGAGTTCCCATAAGGCTGATGCCTGATTTCTAATCAGAAACTCTACAAGCCAGAAGGGAATGGCATGAAGTACTCAAGGTAATGGAAAGCAAGGATCTGAAACCAAGATTACTATATCCAGCAAGGCTATCATTCAAAATAGAAGGTCAAATAAAGAGCTTCCCAGACAAAAAAAAACAACAAAACAAAAACTAAAGGAGTTCATCACCACCAAGCCAGCATTACAAGAAATGCTGAGAAGCATTAACTAGGGTGAGATTATTGCTGATTGGCTGATTTTCAGAATAAAAATCAATCGGAGAAGAAAATGGCGGAGGTATAGATGGATGAGTCCCGTGCCTTGTCCAGGAGCAGATAAGGGTGAGCAGCTGAAACGGGTAACATACAGCCCTAATAAGCAGAAGATATTCAGCTGGGAGACAGTTTGCAGCCGGGAAAGACAGAGAACTCCCGAAGAAAGGGAACAGCTGAAATCTCTCCCGGAGCGCTGGCTCAGCCGCGGAGAACGTGCCATCTTGAGTGGCTGTTATTGGAAGCATATAAAGCCAAAGACCTGGCATCCAAGGCATTCAGAGATTGGCTACTAACCCGGAAACAACGGAACCCAAGCAACGCTACTACATGAACTTAGAGGAACCCTGCTTCTCCCCACGGAAGGATCAGACTTCCCCTAAAGGTGTGGTTTGCAATTCAGGTTGGAGAGAGGAACGCGTGTGTGCGTGGGGAAAATCTGAGCCTCACAAAGTTCGTGGCCATTGAGGCCAGTGTGATCCGCGAGTGTGGAAGGGCTCCCGCAGGGCTGCTGGCAGAAGGGAATGCTAAAAATAAGCCCATAGCTGGACTGGGTGCAAAAAAAGCAGCCTTGGATTTTGCCAGTCTGCTGGCTGCTTAGCACTGGGGAAGAGAGGGTGCACGGAAGGGACTGCGCACAGAGCTGAAAGGTGGAGGGTTGTGAATTTGCGCAACTTCTCAGGCCCTTGTTCTCTCTCTTCCCATTAAATCTTTGTGGTTGATTATTAAACCCAGTACATGGGATTGCCCAGTCAGGGTCACTCGCAGAGACTGAAGGGGAAGGTTCTTTTTGTGGAA